CTATCTCCACATAAAAATGTGTACCTCCAAAAAAAAAAAAAAAATGTGTACCTCAATGCTCACAGCAGCATTATTTCAATAGCCAAAAAGCAGATATAACCCAAATGTCCATCAACTGATGAATGGACAAAACAAAACATGAACTATCCACATTTGCAGTAACAAGGGTTTCATTTGGACTGGATACTGACACAGGCTATAACAAGAGTGAACCTCAAAGACTGTGCTGAGTAAAGAAGCCAGACACTGAGGTCACAGATTGTATAAATCCATTTGTATGAAGAGTCCAGAACAGGCAAATCCACAGAAAGTGGACAAGTGAAGGCTGAGGAACGGGAACAGTGGCATGATGGCTAGTGGTTTTCTTTTTGGGGTGATGAGAATATCCTGGAATTTGAATGTGGAGGTGAATTTGTGACTTGGGGAGTAGAATAAAATTACTGTAAATGGGTTAACTCCATGGTATGTCGACTATATGTTAATAAAGCTCTTATTAAGAAAAACAACCTGCAGTAACAAGGGTTTCATTTGGATGGTGCTGGGAAGGTTATTCTGTATACATGGTTACCTCAAATTTTGTACTGACTGCTATTTTTTCAGATAAAAAGCCAGTGTTCTTAAGAGTATTTCACATTCCACATTCATTGAAACAGAAACACAGAAGCCCACTCCATGGCTCTGTCTTTTCAGTTATTGTTTATGGATGTCCCCCACGCCAGTCCCTAAATGCTCAGTCCTGGCAGCCCCTCCCCAGGTCATGCTGCACCTCTGGTAGATGCCCTTCCTTCGAAGCCCAGCACAGAGGCCCCATGACCTCTGCCCTCTCCACCAGCCACAGTGGGGCTCTGGCTTGTCCGGTGGTCTCACCCTAGGACCTTTACACTTGCTCTTCTCTCTGCCAGCAAGGCTCCCCTCCAAATATCCATGTGCTCACAAACTCCAGCTCACCAGCAAGGCCTTTCCCTACTCCTTAGCATCCACTGCTCTGTTTTCCTCCACAGCCTGTTACCACCTGACATCTTGTATTTCCCTTTTCCCATCTTTCCCCCACTGGAATGTATATTGCAGAACAGAAAATGCTCTATGTCCTGCTTCACTTATTTCTATTGTAGTTGTTACACTATTATCATAACTTCTTATTTTTGTTTCCTATATTAGAGCCTTGGCTCCCTGCAAGCAAGAACAAAACCCTTGTTGTTTATAGAAAGCAACATTGCTCTTCTGGTCTTTCAGACCACATCTGAGTGTGACAACCGTTCAACGACTCTGGCACTCTTGACTCCTGCTGGATTTCACACAGTCCGCCAAGGGATAGGGCTGCTCCTGCTTATCCAAGCTGCTCGGTAAACCACGTGTGTCTGTGCTCAACCAAGCGAACCAGAACACACCTGGAGCTGAGCGGCTCCTCTTCACACAACCATCCTGTCAGAGTCCAGGGGCCCCAGGCCCTGTGGACACGCCACCCTCTTCCCTGGCGCTGGCTTCCTCAACATCTTCCAGATTCCTGAAGGCTGACTGACTGTCCGGATGAGGCATGTGCCCACGCCTGGACTGATCACTGAACTTTCCATTCAGACCACAAGGTGGGAGGTGAGCTGGGGTACGTTCCAGTGCCCTGCAAGTGGGACAGCCCCATCCACCTGGTCTGCGAGACTGTAATCCAGCATTTGAGAAAAGAACATGAAGGAGAAACCAAACAAAAGCACCAAGTCCATCTCATCCTTTCACTCACTCGTTCTGTACTTTCACGTATGAAGTGCTGGCCATTGCAGGGATACCCTGCAGGCACTGCCCTCAGGTAACCAGAAGCCTGGTTTGCCTTGGAGCACAGAAGCTGCCCCTACACACTTACCACCCAAGTGCGCTTCCTCCCAAGAGCACCCCCACAAGAACAGCAAAGCGCATGAACCTCCAGCCCTTGAGATAATGCATGGTTTCCCATTTCACAGTTAAGGAGGCTGAGGATTAAAGTGGTGGGGAGGGACTTCCCTGTGGTCCAGTGGTTAAGAATCTGCCTGCCAATGTAGGGGACAGGGATTCAATCCCTGGTCAGGGACAATTCTACATGCTGTGGGGCAACTAAGCCCATGCGCCACAACTACTGAGCCTGTGCTCTAGAGCCCGTGCTCTGCAACTACAAGTAGCCCCCACTCGCTGCAACTAGAGAAAAGCCCATGCCCAGCAACAGACCCAGTGCAGCCAAAAATAATTTAAAAATAAAGTCATGGGGAGGTTTCTCTCAGCTCCCTGCCAAATTGCAAGCTTTTCTGACTCGGTCACCTTCCCACCACAGGCTTCCAGCAAATATGATGTCGCCCCTCCCCACTCCTGTCACCTCCAGCCCCATATCCCTACCTTTACCTGCAGTGTCCACACGTCAAGTTCCAGCTCGCAGACATCCAGCTGATAGCAACACTTATCTGGGTCCACATCTGGATGCCTATCCACATCTGGTGTTTCTGCCTCTTAGACCCAACACTGAGCACAGCCCATCCTTTGCCTACTTTCTTCCTGGGACTTTCCCTTCACTAATGACACCCTCCGCCCATGTGACACTTTGGCCACCCCTTACCATGCCCCACAAGCCCCCGATGTGGTCATCCCTCCCTCCAAACACCAGAGCCAACATCCAGAAAGCAGTCTCCCTGCCTGGCATGTGCCTGCTTAGCCCAAGGCCACCTCATCAGAGGCTGCCTGGCTCTGTCCAGATGGTCTGACCTCTACCAGCCACCCCTCACCACACTGCAGCTAAAGCTGAGCCCTGGCTGACCCCTTCCCATTAAGACTGGGCGAGAGGTAGGGATGAGTCACCTCAACCATCTTTCTATCAGTGCCTGGCATGGCTCAGATGGTTCAAATGGCAGCTGCTGGCTCTGCAGTGACAGCACATTAACTGACTGTTACAGGGCCACCCCTTAATCACACTCCTTCCTTGTGACTCACTCCAGCCTCATCCCAAACATGGAAGCCATCTGAGCTGCAGACCATGGCAGCTGCTTCCGGAAGAGCCAAGGCACCGGCTGCTATTAAGGCTGGGGTGACTCTCCTGGCCCCTACTTACCCCTCCCTCTAGTCCCTATTCTCAAAAGGCTGTCACCATCCCCTTCTTCTCCTGCCTTCTGTCTTTCCCAGCATCAGGGTCTTTTCCAATGAGTTGGCTCTTTGCATCAGGTTGCCAAAGTACTAGAGCTTCAGCTTCAGCATCAGTCCTTCCAGTAAATATTCAGGGTTGATTTGTTAGGATTGATCGGTTTGATCTTGCTGTCCAAGGGACTCTCAAGTCTCCAGCACAATTTGAAAACATCAGTTCTTCGGGGCTCAGCTTTATGGTCCAACTCCAATCTGTACCTGATTACTGGAAAAACCATAGCTTTGACTATATGGACCTTTATCAGCAAAGTGATGTCTCTCTCTCTTTTCAATAAGCTGTCCAGGTTTATCATAGCTTTTCTTCCAAGGAGTGTCTTTTAACATCAGAGCTGCAGTCACTGTCTACAGTGATTATGGAGCCCAAGAAAATAAAATGTTACTGTTTCCACTTTTTCCCCTTTTGTTTGCCATTAAGTGATAGAACCTTTCTTTTTTGAATGTTGAGTTTTAACTTTTTTCACTCTTTCACCCTCAAGAGGTTTTTTAGTTTCTCTTCACTTAGACATTAGAGTGGTATATTTGCATATCTGAGGTTGTTATTTCTCCCAGCAATCTTGATTCCAGTTTGATTTATCCAACCCAGCATTTTGCATGATGTACTCTGCATGTAAGTTAAATAAGCAGAGTGACAGCATACAGCCTTGACAGTACTCCTTTCCCAATTTTGAACCAGTCTGTTTTTCCATGTCTGGTTCTGTTGCTTCTTGGCCTGCATACAGGTTTCTCAGGAGACAGGTAAGGGTGGTCTGGTACTGCCATCTCTTTAAGAATTTTCCAGTTTCCCTCTTGCTGGGTTGTAGGCATAACTGAGTGGCTCAAAGGCATGTCCTCAGGAGGGGAGGCCCAAAGAGATGTCCATGCCCTGCACCCCACAGGGTTCTTGGCCCCTCTTGAACTGCAGGAATTGCATGGCAGGTCACACTAGCATTCGGTCAAGTAACATGACCATCCTGCTCTAGTCTGTCCCAGGAGAGGTCCAGATGGGTACCAGTGTCTGCCCGCCTCCCCCAGTTCCCTGTAGGTCAAATGAGATTCTACCACAGCTCCCACTAGCTACATCACCAAGTACATAATTAAGAAAACACCAACACAGTGATCTTTCCTTCATGACACAAAAGATGAAAAACACACAGGGATTATGTTGCAAAGTCACAACTACTAAACCCAGATTTCTGAGAACCAGAGCACCAGAAGGAAAGGAACAGCTCAACCCAGCAGTCACCTGAAATCAGCCAGAAACACAGGGCACCCCACCTTGCCCCGCCCCTCACCTGGCAGTACAGGCAATGAACAGGTGGCTGCGTGTGGAGGACCACTGCTCCACATCCTCCCACCCAGGGGGGATGAGGGGGTGAGAAAAAGGGGTTTGGATCTGCGGGAACAGCGTGGCAGCCAGCACCCTCCTGCAGAACTCTAACCCACAGGCCAGGTGCCATGTACCCAGCAGGCCTGTCTCATTTCCTCCTCAGATCCCACATCCCTCCCGCCAACCAGATCACACCAGCATTCTGGCTCAGGTGAGGACCCTGAGGATGGGATGAATTAAACAGTTCCAGCTCTACACACATTTCTATTTTATTATGGCAAAGGTGAAAACGCCACCTTCTCCACAACAACAACCAGTAAAATTTATCCCAAAAATAACTCAGTACAAAACAGGTCTGTTTCAGAATTTAAAAAAAAAAAAAAAAAGGAAAAAGAAACCTTTACATGAATTTTAAACCCTATTTTAAAACATAAAAGAAACAAATCCATCATTGGCCACACAGCCCCAGTCTGTCACCCCCTCCCGCCAGGGAGCACGGACGAGACTTCTGGGTCCTGGTCCATGCACGGATTTGCCGGTCTGTTTAACTGGTGTCCATCTGAAACAGAGGAAGAGAGGTGCTCACTCAAAATGAGGCCCTCCTCCAGTTGGTCTGGGACTGACCCTCACCCAGCCCTCCTCTGTGACTTACTCTTGCATTATAAGCATCCAGCTGGGCATCTAATTCTTCTGCGGAAAGCTGCTGCTTTGAACTCCTGCCGGTGCCTCTGCCTCTGCCCCGGCTGCCTCCACGGGTGCCTCTCCGGGTGCCACCGCCGCCACCGAAACCTCCTGAACCACGGTTTCTAGTCATCCCACCTCTGTTTACACTAGCAAGAAAAGGAAACTTTGCTCACATGCCTGGGAAGACCAGCAGTGTGAGGAGACACCCCACAGGCCAGCCCTGACTAGAGGGGCCCCGGAACTCACCTCTGTGCAGGTCTCCGCTGCGTGTCAATCTGTGAGGTGACGAGCTGAATGTTCATGGGGCGGCCTGTGGCAGAGAACACAAGAGGGCCAGCTCCTGTTAGAGGACTCTGAAGCCTGCTAGGGGGCAGCACCCTGGCCTCCATGTAAGCACTGGAAAGGGACACTGTGCATCTCGACGCTCCCGACAAGAGGACAGCCTGGAAATGCTGGTGGGAGAACAGCCCCACCAGCGCCTCCTCGCTCCTTCTCATCCAGTGCAGCTGGGTGTCTGCCGGGTGTCCGGGGTGCCCAGGAGCAGAAAGGTACCTTTGTCTTTACGACTACAGCCCCGCACTCAAGAGTTGTACTATGGTGGTTCTGAGAAGGCTTCACAGAAGTGAATCTTCCGCAAGGAGCTGAAGGAGGGGAGGGATGTAGCTTGCTGGATGGGGGTTCACAAGAGGTTGGTCCAGATGTGTGGGGCAGCATGAGAGGTGGCAGTGTGGAAGAGAGACAAAGGGGCGAACGCAAAGTGTCCTCAGGCAGAGGGGACCCTACTCTTGCAGGGATGGGGCCAGCCTCTGGCTCCGCAAACTAGCTACAGCGCTGCAGCCTTTCTGGGTCCAATCCCAAACGCACCATCCAAAGGGACGCCGTTGTACTGTTTCATAGCTTTTAGTGCATCTGCCTTCCGCTCAAAGTGCACGTCAGCTGTTCCTAAACTGCGGCCAGATCGGTCGTAGTGCACAGCCGCCTTCTTCAGAGTTCCAAATTCAGCAAAGAGCTCCTGAGAGTCAGAAAGAGAAGTTGTTAGCAAAGTAGTTTTTCTTCTGGTGGCCCAGGGACACTCCCTGGAAGTGTAAACTACTTTGGGGGTATTTCCCTGGGAGAAAGACATACACGTGGTTGGGCAGGGCAGTGGCGGTGGGACCTGGGGTATGGGATGGGACAGGTGGGACAGCAATTTCCCAGAGCAGCTGGGCCCGAGGGCTCCTGCCCACTTGGGAACCTGACATCTGTACCATGATGCAGGTGAAGGATCACAAAGCCCACCAATGAAGGGCAAAGATTAAGTTGCTATCTTCTTCAACAAAGGAATATTTACAACACACCCAAGGACTGTGCCAAGAAGCAGCCAAGGCCAAGATCACAGAGCAAGGGGCTCTATCCACTTGTGGACCAGCTCCAAGGGCCCTCTGAGTGGGAGCCCTGACCCAGCCCCTCCCCCAGGGCAGATTCTGGCTCACCTTTCCCTCTCCTCCTACTCAAGCCTGCCGCAAAGCCTGAAGTCAAGCGCTGCCATGGAAACTGCCCTGACCTCAGGCAGGCTGGGAGTTGGAGAGGGAACCCAGAGTGTGGGGCTACTCCGGCCGCAGGCACACAGCGGGAAGTGGAGTTCACCAAAAGCGGTTTCCAGTGGATGCCAGAAACCACCTTAAAAAAAGTGTTGAGACACTGTGAGTGCTCACTGGCCTTGCTCTGTCCTCCCAAGGCAAAGTAAATGGCTGGGCTCTGGGAAATTGAACCCAGGAAGGCCCAGCACCCTGCCCAGCCATCTCCTGGACTGACCCCCAAGATGTCATTACTTAACCGTTTTAGGCAGCAAGTTTAAAGGCCTTTGGGGTTCAACCAAAAAAAGAAAAGAAAAGGAAAAAAAAGGGGGGGGGGAGGAAAGAAAGAGAGGAAAAAAAAACAGGCTTCAACCAAAGATGTTTGAGAATCATGCCACTAACAAAACCCAGGGGGTGAGGATAAGTGAGAAGACAGGGGATGAAATTCCAAGTTAAGACATAGGGCTTAAAGCAAATGGAGCCAGAGTGACGCTGGCACCATCCTGCTTCTGTGCTATATCAGGTCTACAAAGGAAGTGCTTTCTCCTCCCAACAAACCAATAAAACAAGCAAAAAGTAAAGAAAGCAAGTAGCCTAGCTATTCCAGGAACAGAAATGGAGCATTCAACCAAGCTTCTGTCAGAAGAGCTTGGGCAGAGTGCCTTCATCTACAGAACACGTCTTAGCAAGGAAGAACAGCAGCGCCTCAGACTAAGCTGGGGCCTGTCTTCCAGCACAAACTGACACACTGGTCAGGCTTTCAACTCTAGCTCGACCTCTGCTCTGCATTCCTGGAGCCCCTCACAGGGGACAGTGGCTGGCCCTTGGGTGCCTGGGAAAGCTTGTCGTCCCAAGGTATGTGGGGGGGATTCAGGGTCAAGTCCTAAACACCACAACCAATTCCGTGCGGAGTGACCCGCCCACCAAGAAAACTCCAGTCCCTTACCTGAATATCAGCGTCGGACACTCCAAAATCCAGATTTGACACCAGCAGTTTCCCACCTGTCTCCACGCCGGCACCACCCCCAAAACCGCTATCGAAAAGGTCATGCTGCCATTTGTCAGGAAGTTGTTTCGGCTGAGGGAAAAGAAAACACAAGAACTTGATCCGTGAGTCTCACTCCAGGGCTCGCCCTCGCCCCCACGGCCACAGCAAGAACCTCCCCCCATCACGGCGGGGAGGCAGGCGCTGAGAGAGACCCGCAGCCCCGCTTCTCGCCCGCGTCAGGCCGTACCCTGCCGCCAAGGCCACACATCCCGCAACTTCTCGATTCCCTCCAACCAACTTCCCGCCACCGGGGCGGCCGCGCCAACGGCCCCTCAGCCCCCAGCGCCGTGAGGCCGGGCGCCCTGTTAAGACAAAGGCCGCCAGGGTCTCCGCCTTGGGGCCCGGCAGGCGTGCGACCTTCCGCCCGCCGAGCCGGCCGGCGCCCGCGCCCCCCGGCCCCGTCGGTCGGCCGGCCGACCGCGCGGTCGCCCGTGCGCCGCCCTGCCGGTTCGCTCCCTCGCCGCGGCCCGCCACCCGGTCTCCACACTCACCCTGCTGTAGGGCGCCGGCCGGTTCCTGCCGCCGCCGCCCGCCGCGCCGCGGGCGATAGCCGGCCGATTTCGAATGGGTCCGCCGCCTCGGTTCACTCGCGCGGCGGCCTGGGCCCCGCCGCCGCGGCCACCCTGGGAGCCCGCCCGGCCGCGGCCCCTGCCCCCGCCGCGGCCGCCTCGCTGGCTCCGGTTCAGCTTAATGATGTCGTCCAGAGACATATCCATTTTGTCGGCCATGGCGGGCGCGGAATCGGCCTCGGCTCGAGCCCGCGCGTCAGCACGTCGGCGCGTCACTTCCCGCGCCGCTCGGGGGTTTTCCGGTGCCGCGTCCACAGAGCGACCGCGGATTGGCTGCAGGCCTTCGGCGTCTCAGGGAGCGAGGCCGCGCGTGCGCGGTGAGCCAAGGAGCTCGGCGGGCGCCTCTGAGCAGTGCCGAGCCGCGGCCACAGGCATTTATATACCTTCCCGCGCGGGGCCGGCGCTGCCAACTGAAGGCGGGTGGGGCCGCGCGCAGTTAGATCGGCGGGGGCGCGGCCGTTGGGGGCGTGGTCGAGCTTGGCGCCCCTCCCTTGCCCCTCCCCCACCGCACCAGGAACCCGCACCCTAGTCCCGCGGCCAGAGTGAGTGCGGCCCGTGCGGCCCGCGCCGGGGTTGTTTCCGGGATGACCTCGTAGGCAGCGGGCTTGGGTCTCCATCTCTCAGCCCCGTCGGTCGTGTCCCTTTCGGAAGTAGCGCACGGCGCGTTTCTGCGGTTGTTAAAGAAAGCTGACGACCCCTTCTGCGGGCGCCGGGGCAGAAGTGCGGTGTTGGCGAAGGACCAACACCGGCCCTCCCGGTCTTCCCGAGGACCCGGCCCCCGCCCCAGCCCCCTTGCAGACAGCTCTTATTGCCCTTCGGCGGCCACTGTTGCCTGCGCTGGACCCTCGGGGCGACACCCCTTCTTTGGTTTCCAGGTGCCGTAGCTCTGCAGACTCAGCACAGCCCGGTGGTCTCTTCCCTCCCCGCAGGCTCCTCGCGCCATGAAGGTGAAGATCAAATGCTGGAACGGCGTGGCCACTTGGCTCTGGGTAGCCAACGACGAGAACTGCGGCATCTGCCGCATGGCCTTCAATGGCTGCTGCCCGGACTGTGAGTGCCCCCTGCCCGCTCTCTCTCGAGCTGTGCCTATCCTCTGGCCTTGGCGTGTCACCAGAAGTACTTGCACAGCGTTCCTGGGGTTTGGTTTCCTCTTCCCAAGAAAAGTTGAGAAAAGCCAGGCTGTTTGGACCCATATTTGTACAAAGATCCCGTCAAAAGTTTTGTAAGGAAAAGAGCACAGTTTCCTATCCTGATAAAAGTCACTATGAGATACGTGGAACACAAAGATGTGTTAAGACATTTTATTTGAAAAATTCAAGTCAACAAAAAAATGTAATGTTACAAGGTTTCCCCCTCAATCCAGCACATAAACGATGAATAACACGTTTTCATATCTGGTTGTTTTTGCCCAGCTGTTTTAAAGTAAATGCTAAATGTCTCCTGCCTTGTCAGGCTGGTTCTTTACCACTGAGCCATCAGGGAAGCCATAGTAAATGCTAAATGTGATGCCCCACTTCAGTGCTGACTTTTTCCCAGCACTGTTGTCAATTCAGACAACATATTTACTTACCGTTCCTCCTCATCCCTAGTCCTTGTTCAGATATCTTTAGTTGTTCTCAAATGTCTTTTTATTGTTGGGTGGTGTGAGCCAAGACCCAAAGTGTGATCACTTTTCCCTTCACTACTTAATCTAGAATAGTTTTGCTTCAACTTCTCTATCGCCTTTTAGACATCTAATTATTTGTTTTTATTTTTATTTATTTATTTTTGGCTGCATAGGGACCTTCATTGCATTGGGCAGGCTTCTCTCTAGTTGTGTTCCATGGGCTCAGTTGTCTTGTATCATGTGGGATCTTAGCTCCTAGACCAGGGATCAAACCCACATCCCCTGCATTGGAAGGCAGATTCTTAACCACTGGACCACCAGGGAATTCCCTGTAGACATCTGATTCTTTCAGAACGTGTTGTCTTGCAGAGTGCCTGACCTCAGGTTTTATCAGATTTCATCTTTGCGGTGTCTGGCATTGTTCCTTTGTCTCCAGTGTGTTCTGTGAAGTGAAAGTATTTGGGTCAAAAGGAGATTTTTGCACCAGTGAATGTAGTTTTTAGTCAGACCCAAGTGAACCAGAAGCAGCAGGAAGGGTCTAAGACTTTGCCTAGGGAACAAAGGTGTTCCCAAGAGAAAGGTGAGACTTGGGGACCACTGAGAAGTCAATGACCGGGCCTGTGCTGTGGGGCCATGAACATCATCCATCCTGATTTAATCAGGCTGGGATATAATCTTAGGAAATCAGTGATTGGTTCTACTTGATGAGGTTTTATGTAACAGGGAGTGAGAATAGAACACAGGGTCTGGCTTGGTTTAATCCATTCAAAACCACCCTTTCTTTGGAGGGGGGAGGGCTCAGTTGGGTCTTGTTACTACCTGCAGGCTTTTTCTAGTTGAGGGAGCACTCCTCTAGTTGCAGTGGCTTCTCTTCTTGCGGAGCACAGGCTCTAGGCACACAGGTTTCAGCAGTTGCATTGCTCGGGTTTAGTTGCTCTGCAGCATGTGGAATCTTCCAGGCCCAGGGATTGAACCCATGTCCTCTGCATTGGCAGATGGATTCCTATCCACTGTACCACCAGGGAAATCCTAAAACCACCCTTTCTCAAAGGTACAACACAGGTTACGGGTGGGTACTTGCAACTTTCTCAGCAACAGATGTGGCTTCTGAAAAGAAAAGTTCTAGGGTAGCATTTATGTGGTCATGCCCTTGACTCAGTGTGGGTGAGTGAGCCTGTATGTCAAAGATGGCAGTAGGGGTTGCATGCAGCCTGTGGAACCCATTGTGTAGGGCTGGCTGAGGTGTGCTGACTGCTGGGAAGAGGGGGGTTTAGAGGCTGCACTTTGGATTTGCTGGTTGTGAGCCAGATGTAATGATCAAAGTGTTTGGTCAGCCCAGGGTGCCTTCTCTACAGATCAAGTGATGCTGGATTTCTCTGCTGAGATGGAATTCCTACGAAGAATCCAGAGTGACTCAGGCTGTGATAAACCTGCTGCTTGTCTCAGGGCTTTATGAGTGAAAGTCTTATGGAGAGGATCCCACTGACACTTAGCATGAGTCACTGTCAGCATGGAAGGTGGTGTCAGATTCCCCATGAATGGACACAATGGCCAGGGTACTCCTGCGGGTTGGCTAGCTGGCCCCTGTGCATCCTCTTGCATCCTCTATTTGTAAGGTCTCTAATGTGTTAGGGGTGATGCCAAGCATAGTTCTGCTGAGGTTGGAAGGACCCTGGGTGGGGGTGAGGTGGGGGTGGGAACCAACAGACAGCAGGTGTCACACCCTGTGGGCTCCTGGCACAGGGCCGTCCATCTCGCCCTCCCACCCCGGCCTGCGAAGCAGAGTGAGCTAGATAGTTTTGTATTTGCCAAGTAAATTGTTTTTTGGTTGTTTTGGCATAAAGGATTCAGAAAAGGAGTGATGTTTTGTTTTAGAGATTATTACTTTTTTTTTTTTTATTTTTTTTTTCATTTATTTTTATTAGTTGGAGGCTAATTACTTTACATCATTGCAGTGGTTTTTGTCATACAGTGAAATGAGTTAGCCATGGATTTACATGTATTCCCCATCCCGGTCCCCCCTCCCACCTCCCTCTCCACCGGATCCCTCTGGGTCTTCCCAGTGCACCAGGCCCGAGCACTTGTCTCATGCACCCAACCTGGGCTGGTGATCTGTTTCACCCTAGATAATATACGTGTTTCGATGCTGTTCTCTTGAAACATCCCACCCTCGCCTTCTCCCAGAGTCCACAAGAGATTATTACTTTTAAAAGATTGAGGGTTTGGGGGGGAGAAAGGATCCATGTATATGTATAGCTGCGTCCCTTCACTGTTCACCTGAAATTATCACAGTGTTGTTAATTGGCTATATCCCAGTGCAAAATAAAAAGTTTAAAAAAGATTGAGAAACACTGCCCCAAACAAGAGAGTAAGAAGATAACAGTGCCCATCTGTCTGACTCCATAGGGTGAATGTACCACTGTGGGGCAAGGGCTGCTCCCAAACTGGGAAGGAGGTACAGGTTTTCAGCAGCCATTGAAGGATATTTAAGACCTGGCACCCACACCAGCCTCCTGGTCGGTGTGCTCCCTTCAGGCACTGGCAGCTGCCCTCGTGAGTCATGTGGCTCCGGCCTCCTGTCTGTCGGTGAGATGTCAGTGGGGTGATGGAGACTTCGGAGCACTGTGAGGTTTGGACAAGCGCTCAGGCCAGGTTTCCAGTTCCTTGTGCAGCTCAGAGCACGTGCTCCATTAGGTCTTGCAAGCAGTGTCATGTGGCTTAGCTGTGGTGTTACCTCTTTAAGTCACCTGTCCCTGTGTGTGGTGTCAAGAGAGAAGACCAGGACCACAGGTGACCAGGCCAGCACTTAGGAACTACTTCGTGGGCAAGATGTCTCCTGTTCACCCCAGCTTATCAGGCTGGTGCACTGTGTGCCCTAGTGACTTCTGGATTTGGCTCATGCTTGATAGGCATGAAGGGCCCCCATGGCAATGGTTTGGGGGAATGGCTCCCCGAGAGAGTGGAGGCAGCAAGCTGCAGCTCCCCCCTGCTCATGGGGACCTACCTGCTTGTGGCTGGGGGAGGACATTGTGCTCTGCTGGCACCAGCTGTGTGATAGGGTTTTCTGGATCCTTAAAAATCAGAGGCTTGTTTTTCTTGATGCTAGGCCCTCTTCACAGCAGTAGCATTTGCAGGTGTGTGGGCTGGAGGGCCAGCAGCAGGTACTTTGGACCTTGGAGGTAGGATAGAAATGGGAAGGAAATAGGAGGTAGTGCCATGTCACTCCCAGCTGCCAAAAGGCTGGGCCATAAGCACCTGAGTCCCCGACCTGCTCCCTGGTACTGAATTGGGTCCCTGCTGCCTGGAGATGGCGACATCTAGTTTCTAAGGCCCAGCTCACCTCACCTTGATCAAGAGGAATGGTTTGCCGCTCAGAGGCAGGTCACCTGTGCAGGCGCCTTGACACACTGATGTAACCTTTTTGGCATCATGGGCGCCAAATGGCAGAGCTGCAGTGTGTCTGCAGATGGGCCCAGGCCCTGGGAGGCCAGTGGGTGGGGGTTCGGCCCTGGCCAGAGCTCTTCCTGCTGCTGAGCTCCCCGAGAGCTGCTCCCGCATGGAGGTGGAAGCAGCCCGGGTGGTCTTTGCAGAGGTTCATGTAGAGGCGGCTGCTCGGCCGAATCCGTGGTTTCTTTCCGGATTCCTGTCCTCTCTGAGCCCTGAGGCCACCCTGGGCACACTTCCCCCATCGGACTTGTTCTATGCTCTGGGTGACTCACAGGTCCTCTCGTCCCTCCCACAGGCAAGGTGCCGGGTGACGACTGCCCACTGGTGTGGGGCCAGTGCTCACATTGCTTCCACATGCACTGCATCCTCAAGTGGCTGAACGCACAGCAGGTGCAGCAGCACTGCCCCATGTGCCGCCAGGAGTGGAAGTTCAAGGAGTGAGGCCAGCCACGCTGCCCGATGCCCCTGCTCTCACCCTGAGATGGCCTCACCCCCACAGTGGCTCTGGGTGGCTGTCTTCTCCACGGGGACAGTCTCCTCTGGGCTCTGGCAGGGTTGAAATGAGGACTGGAGCTGCGTTTGTTTTCTCCCATCACAATGTTGACACTTTTATCCAATAAATAAAACTCATTAAACCACCTAAGCCTGGCCGGAGGCTCCAGTGGCTTGTTTTCTTGGTGCTGAGGCAGCCTCGGTGTGCGCCAGTATGAAAACTCATGAATAAACATCCCAATTCGATGCCGAGAGGCCCTGAGTCACACCCCTGGAGAAGGAACCAGGGATCAGCCGGAGGAGCCAGGGTGGGAAGAGTGGGCTCTGGCTAGAAGAGCCTGGTGGGGTAGAGAGGCCGGGGGCCTGCTCTTCAGGCTGGTGGCTGGGACCCTGGCTGGACACAGCTGGCAGGCACTGCCATGCTTCCTTCCTCTGGAAGGCTGTCCCTGAGTAGGTGCTGGCTGTGCTAAGAGGGCTTTGCCAAAGCAGCTGTGATCAGTGGTCTCAGTCCCTTTCTTCCAGCTCCTTCTCAGGGCCAATGTCCTCGACATCCGGATGTGTGTCCACAGGTGTCTGAGGGTCTCCCCATCTAGGGAAGGACAGCTCTTGGGACATCCTTTGGGCACCTCTGTTGCACCTCAGCTCCCGTTGGCTGGTGGCCTGGTATGGGGCGGGGGCAAGGAACCAGCCCTAGGGTTTTGAGCAGCTTCTGGATGGCAGTCACTGTAGGCTGCATGTCCTGTGAGCATGGGCTCCTTCCAGTCTATTCTCGATGACCTCCCCCCCACCTGGGGTCACTGCCCCGTGTCCCTGTAACGCCTTCTGCCCAGTGGGTAGCTGGTTTCTGAGCACCAGTCCCCAGGGGAGAAGGCGGGGCGGTACATGGTCTGGACCACTGTGCCCAGAGGGAAGGAACCCTCACAGAACCTGGAGGTCATATGCTCCTTGCCCAGAAACCCAGCTGCCAGGGCCCTTGTGCTGGTGTCTGTCCTGGGAAGGCATGTGGCCAGGGTGTTTGGAAAGTGTGAGCAGGAGGAGGGGCAGCTGAGTAAGCCTTATGTCACCTGCTGTGTGCCCTCCATCTTGGGCCCTTGGACTCAGCCTCCTGTGTGCTCCCATTTAGCTCTTGGGCTCTAGGCAGTAACTCTGAATTCTAAGTGCCTATCTACAGCGTGTCTGGATCCATGGTCACTGAGTTCACAGACCAGTAGGAAGACCAGCCCTCACTGGGAAGTGGGCTGTTGGCGGCTGCAGAGGATCCCACAGGGTGGCCTGGCCTCCATCTGGCCTGCCCCTGCTCACCTCCCCTCCCTAGAGTTCTGCCTTCCCTGGGGAATTCTCCCTGTGACAGGAAGTACCCACATGCCTAGGGTGCCAGACCGTGAGCCGAGCTTCCAGTCTTTTAGCCCTGGCACACCAGGACAGGTGCCCTCACCCCAGGGGTCTCGAGCTTGCCACAGGTCAGACAGTCCTCCAGGCAGGCAACTCCCACTTCGCTGCCAGGTGGGCTCCTCTCCATTCTCTACTGGGTTCCAGCCTGGTCCTCCCAGGGCCTGCGTGGTCCCCTCAAGCGGGACACAAAGCTGCCTGTCAGGCCCAGCACACACCCAGAGACCAGCCATTGGCTCCCCTGCAGGAAGCTCAAGGGCTCTGCCAGGTCCTCTCAGGGCCATTAATCATCTCATCTCTTCCTCTGCCACAGTGGCACAGGGCCACAGCACCCACCTCTGCAAAGGCTCTCCCCTGGCCTCCCCACCTCGTCTGTCCTGGGAGCTCTGTTTGAGGACCAGATCAGTGGTATAAAACTCTAATAGGTGTGAAACCCACCTCTGCCCTCCCCACCCCGGGCCCTCTTAGATTTCAGCGCCTCTTCCAGAAGCCTGGCCCTCTCTGGTCAGCTCCCTTTAGGTTGGGAACTTCTCCTTGTCCCCGGGGTACAGGGAAACAACTGCTCCTTGTCTCCGGGGTACGGGGTACAGACCCCGGGGTGTGACTCGGGGCTGGGGCGCCGTCGGACTCATTGAGGACTCTGCAGCACCGCCGCCCCTCCTCCCACTGAGTCGGGACTAAGGTCTGTGGGAGGGGCCTGGGGGTTGCCTCCCAGCAAGAGTTGAGTGGCCAGAAACGCGGAGGTGTGCGGCGGTGGAGAGGAAGGGGGCGTCGCATCCCCCCCAAGCCCTGGACCATCTTTCTCCAGCGTGCCCCTGTGCCCAAGAGGCTCTGAACCCCGCGCGGGCTTCTCCCTCCAGGATGCGGAGGCCCGTGCAACCGGCGCCCGCCCTCGCGCCCCGCCCCGCCCCGCCCCGCAGCAGATATAAGGCACGGGTGCTGCCGTTCCGCTCCCCGCCGCCCGCTGCCACCGAGTACCCATGGCCGGGCCCGCGATGCTGGTGGCCGCCGCTCTGGCGCTCTGCTTACTGCTGGCGTCCCCAGGCTTCGCGTGGTACAAGCCGACGGCGGGGCCGGGGTACTACTCCGTGGGCCGCGCCGCAGGGCTGCTGTCCGGTTTCCACAGGTCGCCGTACGCACGGCGCTCCGAGCCGCGCGGGGGCACGCGATCCCTGGGAGGGGCCGGCACCTTCCGGGAGATGCGCCCCAACCTGCGGAGTCTCGTGAGTAATGGGCGCTGTTGGGTGCGGAGCGCTGGGGGGTGCAGACGCCCCCTTATCCTTCCATCCCATCTCGCCCCTAGGCCGTGTGCGTCAAGGAGGTCACCCCCAACCTGCAGAGCTGCGAGCCGCTCCCCGACGGCCGCGCCACTTTCCAGTGCAAGGCCGATGTCTTCCTGTCGCTCAGCGCCTCAGACTGTCGCAGCAAGTGAGCCCCGACCCCGGCACCTGGACCCGGCCTAAATGCCCAGGGCACCCGCGGGCCCGCCCCCACCCTGGCGCTAGATGGCACCCAGCACCGCCTACCCATCCCCATAGTAAATGGCTTAATGAATAAATGAGTTGCAGCCTCTGGGAGGTGGGCACAGCGGGTGGAGTGGGCGTCTCCGGAATCTCCACACCCGTACTCTGCTCACCTAGGTGTGCAGACAGCAGCCAGGTCACCAGGTTTCACGGAGACACCTGTACAGGAGTTCCTAAGAACCACTGCTGGTTAAAATGCTGCTGGGAACTTTCTGTGGGCCTCGGGCCATATCAAACCCAGACATCTTCTGGAGCCCCGCAAACGGCTCTGCAAGGCTCTGCTCCATACCCCACCCCCCCCTGCTTTTGTTCAGGCAGCTCCTGGATCCTCCTAGGAAGTGCCTGTGTCCCCTACTAGCCATCAAGTCTACCATGCCAGCTCAAAAGTCCTACCCTGTAGTAAGCCTCCCCTAAATATCCCACACCAGGACACCCTCCTGTCTCAAATGCTACATTTCTTGAGGCCTCCCTTACTAGAGGGGCAGCTCTTGGAGTGACTCCTTTCTTGGAGCACCCCCAAAACACCTCAGAGTACACGGCATGGGACAATACTTGTGCCAAATGGATGAGTGAATAGGCTGGGCCCAGCAAGAGGGGGAAGGCAGCTAGATGTGGGGCTCCGGGGCTGGGAGGGGCTGCAGCAGGGGGATGACAGAGCTGGGAGCTGGGCACAGCCCCAGCTGAGTCCTGAGTCAGGCAGCTGGCTCCTCCCAGGCCTGGGAGCTCTTTGTTCATCCCAACCTAGACCCACAGGAAAGCGGTATCCCCAAAGCCACGGGTGCTACCATACCTGGAGAAGGGAGGGGCTATGCAGGACCATGGCTCCTGAATACAACTGCCTTGTGCCAGCCCAGCACCCCTGCCCCACTCAGGCTAATTCCCTAATTCACTTGTTGGAATATCAGTAGGTTGATTTACACCCTGGCCCCCAATGAGGCTGACCTGAGTCCCTTAGCCTGAACTCTGGCCCCAGAGATCTGGAGCTTGTCTCAATGACGTACCCCACCCCATGGAATGCTTTGCCACCAGCTGGGCCTCAGGGGACCCAAGGGAGCTGGACCCACCAGCTAGCCCTTTGCCGAGGCTATAGGTGGGACCCACAATCCTGTTGCATCTGGGTGGACAAGTCTCCGGAGGCACCCACCTCCTGGACACCCAGCCTCCAAGTCTCCTCCAACCACGGTCCAGCTCGGGGGGGGGCAGGGGGGGCCTTCCTGGTTGCTGCTGCAGGCTGTCCCCCAGTCCTCACCTTGGGGTGCCACCAGCAGGGGGTTCTGAGCAGGCCTAGGGCTGACTCTGGTCTCAAGAGGAATCCACTGGCTGCTCCTATATCCACGCCCCCCCCCCCCCCCCCCCCCCCGCCCCATCAATCTACAGGAACTGGCTGATCCATGCCTCCGGGGGATTGGAGTGAGAAGGTCTACTACCACTGGGTTCCTGAAGTTGGGGCAGGGGTGTGGGGACAGTCCTGTGCCTCTCACAGCTTAGTGTGCTGCCCCCACTGGGAAAGGGAGGAAAGGAAGTGGGGCAGGGGGCTGCCCTGAGAGGCTATGTGCACTGATAGTCCCCCCAGCTCCCTCACTGCTGCTGCCTGCACAGGTTCTAGACTGGACCTTAAGAACCGACAGAAAGGACAGGCCCACCTTCCAGAAGGAGTGAATGCTGGTCTAGGACTCCCATGGAGCCAGGCCACAGGGTGCTCTGGCCCCATCTGGCCCAGCAGCTGCAGGGCAGAGGCCATTCTGGAGAGAACTGGAAGAGGACTGAAAGAACATCCCAGTCCTCACTCTTGAACACCACAGAGCCATAAACCACAGCCACTGTCCCCCTCCTCCCCCAAGAAGAGGTGACTGGGGTCAGCACCCTGCAGCCACTACACTGCTCCAAGTGGGCCCTGACTTGGGTGCAGGAGACCCTGAGATTCTGTGGACCTGGCCAGGGAGCAGCCCCCAATTCCTTCCTGGATCAGGGAGCTCTATGGGGACTGCAGGGTGTCAGACTCTCATTTTCCTCACGACAGACCCAGGGGCCAGACACTGTTGGCCCTTGCCTCTCTCCCTCTTTTGTTTCCGGCCACTGTGGGAAGCGGCGGGGGAGCCTGGATCTAGAGAGTTCCTTGCTGCGGCCATCCGCCTCCTTGTCAGGTGGCGGGGAGCAGGGCCAAGGTTTTCTGGTCCTGCCCTGCAAGATAGAGAGCCTGATGCAGAGCCCCTCCCAGCAGGTTTATTTGGTTGCACACCACCCAGTCAGGAACAAAACCAAGAAGAGTCTCTGGGGAGGCTGGTTCAGGAAACCGGGTGCAGCGTCTGGGCACCAGGCCCTGGGGCAGAGGCCGCCCATGTGGGAGGTGGCCTGGTCTGCACCCTGAGGAGGAAAGGGGGTAGCCCCTTGGGTCACTGCTCCCTGAAAGCCTGTTTGAACTGAGGCAAGGCAGGTGGGAAGGCCGCCTCGAGTTGGGCGGTGGAGGGCGTATAGGAGCTTCCGGGGGCAGATGGTGAGCAGCAGCAGGGCTGGGAGGATGGAAGCTGGGCCTTCCATGGCACGCAGGGTGGCACCCCTCTGGTTGAAGGTGCCCCCTGCCCATCCTGCCGGCTGGGCTGCTCCACTGTGCTGGATGCCCTCTCTGCAACTCGGCAGGAAGGGCAGGATGGCCTGCTGCAAGACAGGTACCTTGCGAGCGGGGTAACAGGCTGTGTCCTCCACACCAGCCCCTCCGCGGCTGGGTGGTTGGAGAAGAGGGCACCGCAGCTTTGTTAAAAACTGAGCCAAGCTCTCAAGGCAGGGTTGGGAGAGGGCCAGCCCCTTCGAGGGCCCTGGCATCCTCCCACCTGTCGTCAGAAGTCACAGTCGCTCTCCCTTTCGGGCTGCGCTTCCTGCTGCCTCATGGCCTCCTGAAAGGCCAGCTCCTTGGCTTCCTTCTTCTGGTTCCGGGCCTCATACTCCAGCCTGGGGGCCAGATGGGGTGAGGTGTGCACCCAGAGCCAGGGCCTCAGTACCACCCTGTGCCCCCATCACCCCAGCCAGGACTCACCTGTTCTTGATAATGCGCTGGACGATGAGGTCTGTGGTGAGGTCGTTCCCACTGTCAACCTGGCAGAAAATGCCCCTCCTTTTGGGCTCCTAGAGGCCAGAAAGCGGGGAAGGAGGTGTGAGCTCTTCCCGGACCTTGTGGAGCCTGCACTGCTGCCCTGGCTCTGACTTCCCCCTACCCCCGCCATGGTGGGCGTGGTCCCTCGCACTCAGCTCCTGCCTCCTCAAACCGTGAGGCCACCAGCAAGGCAGCTGTCACCGTGCCCATTTCCCAGACAACCATGGTGAGGCACAGGGGCATCAGGTGGCTGGGAAGCACTAGACAGTGGCCACCTCGTGTCCACTGAGGACCCTGTAGGACCCACCTCGTATGGGTCAGAGCCATCTTTGTCCGGCACGATCTCCGTCTTCCCGTGACACACCAGGTCCACCTGGGGAGGAGGTAGGGGTCAGGGAGCCCTCCCAGCATCACCCTACATGGTCCCCTGTTCCCCGAGTGCCCTCCCCAGGGAGGCCGGCAGGGCTCAGAGCACTGGCCTGGCCCCACTCGGCCTAGATCCTCCCTGCCCACCAGGAGCCCCACCCTCACCTTGAAGTGGTCCAGGAGCTCTGCTGTGACCGAGTACGGGGCCCCAATCACCACTTCAGACACGTACTGGGTGGACAGGAAGCACAGCTGGTTAACTAGGACTTGCCAGGCAGCAGGGTAGCAGCTGAGAGGGGGCATAGTGGAGCCCCAGATTCACACCCCTAGGAGGGTTCCGGGGGTCGGGGGTGGGGTGATGGGGAGGAGCAGCTCCAGCCTGGGAAGGACAGGCTGCTGGTCTGCCCACCGGCACTCACCCGGCAGGCCAGCACACTCAGGGTCCGCTCATGCAGGTTCATGATGGGGTAGTTCTTCCCCTTGTAGTGGTTGACCTCCTAGAGCCAGAGCAAGATTGAGTCAGCTGGCAACCTTGTTGCCGGTGTGTGTTTGTGTGTGTGAGGCTGTGCTCCCTCCCAACAATCCCTTGGGGACATCTGATGGTATGGAGGCCATGAGATGGGAGGCCCGCCCTGGGTTTCTCCCTCGGCAGATGCCCAAGCTTGCCACCTCTTCCTCACTTGTGCCCAACCCCATCCCTAGGAGCCATTCCAGAGTCCCCACACTATCAGATGCCCCAGGGTGAGACCTGGTCAAAATGCAAGCCAGCGATGACGTAGGGCCTCTCCACCAGGCCATATACCTTCTCCAGAAAATCCACATGCCCAATGTCTGCGCCCAGGTTAAGGAGCAAGGAATCAATACAGAGCAGCCGTCCACAGAAGCAGGGACTCAGTGAGGTCCCCTCCCACCCGCCTGCTCACGCCTCTCCCTGCTAACGCTGTGTCCCTGCAGCCCACCCCAGTTCAGGGTCCTCGAGAGTCAGGGAGGCCCCTTGAGGCCCTGGGGCCCACTGGGGAGGATGTGGAGGGGCAGATAGAAGGCCTGGGGCAGGGACAAACCCCACCCAATCCCAGAGGATACGGAACAGGTCAAAGGCGCCAGCCACGTAGATGACCGTCTCCCCAGGCTGGGGCTCCTTCCCTGAAGCAAATTGGATGATCTTTTGGGATGTCTGAAGAAACTGAGATACCCCCGTCCAGGGGTTCCGCCCCCCAGGGCACTGCAAGCCGAAAACAGTCTGGTCAGTGATGGAAGCCTTGCAGGCATGTTCTTTGCCTGTGACAACCCCTGGGCCTGCCCACACCCGCCTGTCTGTATGCTCTGGGAGGCATAGATGTAGGGTGGAGGGAGCAGGTATGGGGGCGAGAGGCCAGGACTCCGAACCCCTAGCTGCTGCCGGCCACTCGCTTGATCACTCTGCTGTTGCTCCCAGGCAGGCATTTCAGGCAGGGATGCTGAGGGCCGGCTGGCATTGCCTGGTCCACACCGAGACCCGTGTGGGCGGGGCGCCTGTGGGTGGCGGGACTGGGTTCCTGCCCGGCAGCCACAGCAGGCACTGCCGCCAATAGCACCTTGGCTCGGCAACTGGCCCGCCAGGAAGAGGCCAGTGGACACAGCCCTCGTGGGGACCTGGCACCCTGAGGCCACCGTCTGGTCACCTGGGAGGAGCCTTCTGAGCAAAGTGTCTCCCCGGCGGGTGTCGGGTGAGGGGGCTATAGAAGGAGAGAGGACCAGGCCGCCTGGTTAGAGAACCCTCATTCACACGGTGGCCCCTGGGACTGGCCAGCCAGCAAGATTGGCGGTCAGTACCCAGAAAGCAGGGAGCAGGGTAGACAGCGAGACCCCCTTTCCCCAGGGGTAGCCTGGGGGTCAGGCAGTGGCCCAGACAGTACAGGAGACACTTACCTTGCCAAAGCTGTCTGCATACTCCCGGTACTCAGAGGACATCTCCTGCACAGAAGGGTACGGGGGTGAGAGGCCTGGCCCTCCAGACGCAGCCAACCCCAGGACTGTTCCAGTGCCCTCTGGGGGGCAAGGGCAGGGTAGGTGATCCCTCCCTCCCAGTCCCACAGTCACCTGGCTGCTGTGATGGGCCTTGGTCACCAACAGCATGCGGCCAACGAGGTCTGTGGTGGACACCCCCTGGGTGCGCTTGCATTCTCTGGGGACAGAGGTGGGGTTGGAGCTCTCATCCGGCGACACACGTACAAAGGCTGCCTCCTAAGGGCACCTAAGTTGCCCCACCCAAGGGTAAGGGCAACTCTGCTTGTGGCTGAATCTACCATGGTCCAGTCCCTGGTGGCCCTGCTGTGCACAGACCGTGCACTTCCTCGCTATTCTTGGCTAGGACAGAAAACCAAGACCCAGGGGGTGGAGGGACCACGGTCATTTCATCAACCAAAGGACGTGACTGGACAGGAGAACAGGATTATCAAGCCTCAAGTTTGCAGACCATCCAAGGGGGTGGCTCTGATCCTGTCCAGTCTGCTGACGCCCAAGTCCTGCCTCACCACACACACTGCCAAGGGAATCCCCGGCCTTACCGCCCAATTGGAGCTGCTGGCCGTGTGGCCTTTTCAAGAGTCACTCAGCTAAAAGCCAGCTCCCCATCGAACCCCAGGTCTCTACTGCTCTGCAGCCAGCTGGGGCCGGTGGCTCCCGTACTGGGTGACCCAGGGGCATGGCGCCCCCAGCCATCGCACCACGCCGGCACAAGTCAGGAAGCACAGGCTGCGGCCGGACGCTGCCCTCATGAGCAGAAGGCGCTCGTTGGGCCCCAGGAAACTCACTCCTCTTTATAAAGGTGGGTCAACCAGCAGCTAGAGCTTACCTGTACCTTCCAGCCTGCTTCACTTCCTCGTAGGTGTCCCGGCCGTCTACAGTCAGTGTGATGTCATCTAAGGGGTGACGTGCACAGGAGAACACGGCATTTAACCCAAAGCCACGAAGACCTCCAGGCCCATACCTTCACTCCAGGCCTGCCCCGGTGTGCGTATACTCCTTTCTGGGGAAGGACGCAGAGCTTCCTCAGACCCTCAGAGGGCTCCATGCTCCTCCAAGTGTGAAGAGGCCAGCACCTCCGGACAGCCCTCTGATGGTCAAGTCCCGAGCTGCCCGAGTCCCCAGCCCCTGGGATTAAGTCCCGCCCACTCACTGCCGTGGACGCAGAAGTCACAGTTGTACTTGTCCAGAGTCTCCAGAGTGGTGACGTAGGGGGCTGCCGGCACCACCTCGTCCACCCACTTGATGGCCTGCACCATCTTGTACCTCTCCTCCTGAGTGAACACCGGGGGCCCCTTGTGCTTGGCGATCTCCTCTAGGGAGAGAGAGGAGGGCAAAGGACAACGTGGGTGACTCCTGGAGGGCTGGCCACAGGCTTGCCGGCCCCTCCTCAGAAGTCCCCTCCCAGCACTGAGCAGGGTCTGCAGCCACACAAGGGCTTATGGAGGGAGGCTGTCTCTGACCGGTTCCTCAGCCCATGAAGTACCAAGCAGCCCTGCTGATCTCTGTGAGCTGGTACAGGCGCTGGGGATGTTCCTGCTGGGAACCGCACGCCACCCCCCACCTCAGTGGACTAGAGTTCCAGGTATAGTCTGGGTTCCCTTTGATAGCTGGGTACTCTACTCGAAGGCCTTGGGACCCAGAAAGTGGGTAGGAAGTGGGTGGCATACCCAGATGGATCCACTGGACGCCCCCTACACCCAAGCTCATGACAGGATACAAGACAGGAAAGCTATGGGCGGCCCGGCCTGGGCTGGGGTTAGGGTGAGCTTGCAGAGCTGTGCTAATGGGGAGGATGGCCTAGGCCTGGCCCTACCCTCCACGGGGACCTGTGGAGTCTGTCACAGGCATGGGGTGGGGAGGCGGGTGGTGGGCACAGCAGCCCGGCTTACCATCAGTGTGCACACCCACAATGAGGTGGTCACCCATGGCCCGGGCCTGGCGCAGCTGGTTGGAGTGGCCATAATGTACCATGTCGTAGCTGTGGAGAGCGAGGGGCTGTCATCCCCGTGTTGGGGGTGCAGCCTTGTTCCTCTGAGTGTCATCAGAAAGTCCGCCAAGAAGCCACCATCAGAACTGCCCCCAGGGTCCCGGTTGGGCTTTCAGAGAGAGTGGTGCTCAGTTCTCCTTATCACCAGTCCCTGGGCCCAGGGTCAGACTGAGAAAGCATGACTGTGCCCAGGGACAGGTCTGGGGACCCTGAGGGCTGGTGAGGACACAGAACAGTCCCTGCTCCCCACACCTGGAACAGCGCTCTGCCCTTAGCTCCCATGGGCAGTCCCTTTAAGGTGCAGTATAAACTGGTGATAATTCAAGGGTACACTGGACTCTGTACTACCCTGAGACAGCCACACAGTCCCTGGAGCCAACACATAACGAAGTCTAACCAATGACCAAGGATGACTGCTGGCTTTAAAAGTCCTGCTTGCTCCTCATGGCCTCTGGAAACTCAGGGAGGCTTTGCTCCCCGGAACCAACTCTTACTTCCAATCAGTGAAATTGACTCTCCCGTGAAGAGGCGGGAATAGACTAATAAGACGAGAAGAAAACCATCTCCCTGTCACCTGGGGTTCTAGAGCTTTCATCCTCAAATTCAGGTCTGGTTAAGATAGAACTCTTAGCTGAAGGCCACACATAGCATCACAGCTCCACTTGAGTTGTCATGTGTGTGGGGAGACCCCCACTTCTCTGTGGGCTCAGGGGTGGACCCTCATGCTTGCTCGGCTTCCTCCCAGCCTTGTATTGCCTTCTGAGTAGGTGGAGCTGTCCCTGCTTCTCCAGGTGGCCAATGCCACCAGGTGTACAGAACCATTCTACTCAACACCACCTGCTACCACCACCAGGCCCCAGCAGACGAGCCTGTGGGGCACAGTACTCTGGTCCTGGGCTAAGGGAAGAGGGGAGTCTAAATTCAGGAGCCTGGCTGGCCCTTGTGCCCACCAGACAGGCTAGGCAGAAGGAGGGGTGCCTAGCACAGAATCCAGGGTGGTCCTGAGTCCAGGCCATACCCCAGCCACTGTGGCCTGCTGGGGGTGGGGCTAGGCCTGGTCAGGGCCAAGGTCAGAGTCCACAGACACGAAGCCACATCCCCTCCCCAAGGTGACCCAGGTGCAGGCACAGAAGTATGGCAGCCCCGCATGCTGGCTGCTGAAGCCCTGGGCTTGCTTTCTCTGCTTTCATCACATAAAGGTCTGAGGAAGTAGTCAAGGTGGCAAGTTGCCACTAGACGTTCACTTTCCTCTTATCCCCCAGCAGCCTCAAACCTATCTTAACACCACCAATCCAATTGTCTTGCTTGCCAAAAAGAGAGAACAGCTGGGCACTGTAACTCTCTTCAGATGGATCCAGGAGCCTGAGGGCTTCACTAGGGTCTTACACGGATTGGCCAATGCCTGCACTGACACTTGCCCAGACACCCAGGAGAATCTTCCAGGTTTTGTCCTGGGCAAGCTGGGGACTGGACAGGGAGAACTCTGGGAAGACATTTTGGGTGTACGGCTCCCTCGGAGGAAGAGTTCCTAAGGCACTGAAATGATTAAAGTCATCAAGGTTAGACCCGCAACTCTGGCCACTACTGTGCTCAAATCAGGCAGGTGGGACCGCCTGGCTGGGTGTCCGGCTTAAAGGCAAACGTGGGCAAAGGAGCACCCAGGAAAGGTGCTCATGTAGGGATCCGCAGAAAGCCTCCAGCGACCCTCAGCCGCGATGCCCGCGGCAACTCGGGTCCAGGGTTTCTTCCGCAGACTGTGACTCCTTTTGCCCGCCGCCCCGAGTTCGCCGGCCGCCCGATTCAGGCAAAATCGGCCAGAGCGGTCACCGCGGCCGCGCCCCCGCCACCGCCCCGCGTCCCCCGCCGCGCTCACCAGCCGTCGCACCACACCCGCACAGCGCGCCTAGCCCTCGGGCCCAGCCGCTTGGCGCCGCCCGCCTCCCCGTGCCCGTTCCGGATCATGGCCCGGTGGCGGCAGCGAGACACCGCCCGGCCGGCTCCCGACTCCGAGCCGCCGCAGCCCGCGCACGCACGCGCCGTCACGCGGGCCTCACCCGCTTCGTGCGGCCAATGGCGAACGTCGCCCCGCCCCCCACGGAGCCCCTCCCTCTCACCACACACGCGGCCAATGGCGAACCTCGTTCGAGCCGGATTCCGCCCCTCCGCTCCCGACCAATGACCTGTGCCCAGCATCCCTTAGCGCCCACCTGGCAGAGGGGCGGGGCAGGACCACGTGGGGCGCACCCGCCCCTTCAGGCGTCTCCTCCCACCCACCGCTTCAGGAAGGTAGTCGCTGACAAGGGAAGGACAGTGCAGAGATGTTTAATAACAATAAAAAGGCTTGTTGAGAGCCAAGGCTCAAAAATCACCCCTTTGCAGCATACTCAATACAGAAAAAGGCTTCTATAAACTTAACGTTTTCAGTAAGAAGTAGTAGAAATTGGGTTGATGCCCCTGAGACTGGCCTGGTGAATGAGGTAAGGCAGCTTTGTGCTTCCTCTTAGCTGGCCAGGTGTGAAATAACCGGAGTTCTGTTCTCACAGAGGGTGTGACTGCCACCTCTTCCATCATTAGGCCCATGCAGGGGGCAACCACAGCAGTGCAAGGGGGCTTCCCACGAGGACAAATGGCTAAACATGTCAGGGTGAAAATGTCACCCCCAGAGAATTCTCAGGGGCAGTCCTGGCATTAACGATGCCAGCTGCCCCTTAACAAGAGTCCCGGCCATTTTCAAAGTGCCATCATTGTCCTTGGTCAAGCACCAGGTTACGTTACTTTCTTCTTTTTTGTGCGTTTGGTGCAGCCCCTGCCAAACCAGCCACCCAGGATGGGGGCTGAGCTAAGTGGTGCACCCCGGTCTCCAGGCCCAGGTTCCTCTCGGCTTCTGCACAGTGACTTGCGACTGTGGCTGCCTTCTTCACCAGCACGCAGGGGAGTCGCCAGGGAGAAGATGGGGTCCTGCCACCTACGTAAAAGGGAAAGCTGGGTCAGGTGTGCCAGGGAGTCCCTCTCAATCACAACCCGCCCCAGGACAGGAAAGCTGACTGAGGTCACCCTGCGTCCCTCCCATGTCTTAATTGTGGCTGGGCTGTGCTCAGTGGTAGCTCCAGAACATCTGTGAGAGGGGTAAGTACCCCGAATAACTCAAAGGCCAGGACCCAGACTAGCCCGGCCTCTGCAGAACTCACTCCTCATTGGTGTGCAGGGGGCTGTGCACACAGAGGGTGGGGAGGCACTAGCCCCAGGAAGGACGAATCACTAGCCAACCCTGGGCCCCACCTTTCACTCATACGGCCAGGGACAGGCAGACCAGACCCTCTTCCCCTTCCCAGACAGCAGGACTTGACAGGAGGAAAGCTGACTAGGGAGGTGCGGCCTAAACACTACACCGTGACGAGATCATGTGTCTGAGATGTAGAACCACATATTATAAACTTAAGATACAGATAAGCACTGATAAAGAAAATGAGCTAAGTTAATGTGGAAAAAAAAAAGTACAGTACACAATAGGCCCACATTACAGAACACCACAAACATAACATACAAGAATTGCCAGGCCCAGAAGGTGAAGGGATCCTTAATTCTTGAACCCTTTGATTAAAAGAAGTTATTGATTTCCCCTATAAGACCCTGGAAATTCACAGAGAGAGAAAGTGTAAACTTTTTACTCAATACACACACCACGTCTAAATTATCACAAATTCTGTATTAAGGCACAATTTGTTTAAACTTCCCCAAAGTATTCCAGTTCCCCAAGCCAAGTGCACCCAGATCCTGAAGAGCAGAGTTGCTGAGAGCACATCCCTTCAAGGCACCTTCCCGTCCAGGCTGCCTGAGGGGAAGGGGGGACATCCAGGCATACCCTGGCAGATTCCCTCTCCCCACAGGAATCACACCAGCCAGGACATCTCAGCCAATGCTGGGGCTGGGCCCTGCAGAGGCCACCATGCCGCAGTCACGCCTCAGATGCCAGCTGCCACACCTCAGAGCTTTCTCTACGCTCAGCTCACAGAAGACGACAGACACAGCCCATCCACACAGGGGCAGGGAAGTGGGGGACATGCCTGTACCCCTCACCTGCTGTAGCGGGGGATCTCCAGGCCCAGCTCATCCATGAGGAGCTGCATGACGTCATCACACTTGCCGTGCAGCTTCAGGGCAGCCCAGTCATCCTTCGGGGTCCACTGGGGACAGGAGAAGGTGAGTGAGGACAGCACCTCACTCCTTCCCAACAGCCTGCTGGCCTTGGACCCTGCTCAGCCAGACCTCCAAGGTGCATGACTGCGGGACACAGATGTCCCAGGGATGGCTGGCTCTCCTGTTCTAAGGCCCAGGTCTGAGGAGGTGGCTCTGAGCACTTGAGTTACCTGCAAGTTCACAATGTAGAGCTTGGGCCGCCGGCTGGGGGGCTTGGTCATACACCAGAGGTGCGGATACTTCTTTAGAACCTGTGGGAATGGACAGATGGACAGACCACACACACCCCAGAGGAGGAGGATACAGGAAGATGGGGTCTAAGGTTGAGCTGACCAGCTGCAGGCAGGTTCACCCCTGTTCCCATCCACAGTGCTATTTGCATACCTTTAAGCTGGAGCCTAAACACAGGATTGTGTCTGCTTTGCTGGCAGCCTGGGTGGCTGCCTCCCAATTCAGAGGCTGCCCCAGCGTCCCCCTCTCCCCAAAGTGCACGATGGTGTCCCTGAGTTGGCCTCCACACTTGTGGCAGGTGCGGCCGGTCTGGTGCCGGTGCAGGGCAGTGCGCTCCGTCACATCAAACACTCGCACATACTCTCTATTGGGAGTGCAGGCTGTGCAGACCTGAGGAGAGTAGGGTCTGTGAGTGGAAGCCACTGGCCTGCCCAGGCCCGAGTCCCCGAGGGATCGCTCACTTCAATGTACATGTTCCCGTGGAGCTCTGACATGGCTGAGCGAGGCAGCCCGCTTCGCAGGTGGAGCCCGTCACAGTTCTGAGACACCACATGCTGCACCTGGAGGGGCAATAGCGGCAGTCAGCAGCAGAAGTGGGGGGCGGCACTCAGGTGTGAAAGCATACCAAACCCTGCCGGTCCCAGAGCCCCCAGCCCAGCAGAAACTCCAACCTTGCACAAAGCACTGAAGGCAAACCCAGAGCAGCAGGCTGGTCCCAGCAGGACTCAGGAGGCTCTGATGAGGAGGGCACCAGGCCCACCCCCAACCACTCAGAAGCACTAGGAACCCCCAGGAAGGCAATGTTTGCACCACCTTCTCTGCTGAAAAGGGGCTCAGGACCCAGACTGATGCTTTAGGCCCTTGAAGCCCTAGAGGTTCGACCCCTCTCCCACTCAGCAACAGGTGCTTAGTGGAGGATCTCCAGAGGCTTCTTACTAGTTTGCCCTGTTATCTACGTGGTTCCTGAGATCTGTGGAAAAATGCAAGAGAAACACGAGGGGAAGGGGCTACCCTCACAAGCTCTGGGCCTAGGTGGACTCTCTGTGTGATGATTCAGCAAAGAGGCTACCCTCTACTCTTAGAATGGCAGCTCAAACCAGAATCTAAACTGATTGGTGGGCGCTCATCAGGGGTACCACTAGCTGATAGAGGTAGTATGTCGCCTGGGCACCAAGGTGGCCCTCTGGATCCTACTCATGGACCCAGCGAGTACAATCAGCCTTCTATATCCGAGGGGTCTACATCTGCAGGTTCAACCAACCAAAGATCAAAAATATCTGGGGCGGGGTGGGGGGGGGGTAATATTCAGGGGAAAGAAATCCAGAAAGTTCCAAGAAGCAAAACTTGAATTGGCCACATACTGGCAAGAATCTGCATAGCATTTACATTGTATTTATACCAGTTTAAATAGCACTGACATTATATTAGGTTTTATAAGTAACTCATAGATGATTTACAGTATAGGAGAGGATGCACAAATTACACACAAACACTATGTCTTTTTTATACAAGGGACTTGAGCATCTGCAGCCTTTGTTATCTAAGGGGGATACTGAAGGATGGCTGGACACTAGCCACTCTGGGCTCTTACCAGCTTCTGCTCATGTAAGCGGGCGATGCTCATGTGGGTGAGGGTTGGCTCAGCCTCACTCAGGTCAGCAGCACTGCCAGGTGGAAGGGAAGCAAAGGTGAGGGGAGTTGCAAGGACAGGTGCATGTGCCCTGTTCAACCAGGTAGAAATGCTGTGCTAGGTTGCTCACCTAACACTTCTTCCTTTCTGAAGCAGCGTCCACACTCCATTAGGGCCCCGGTAATCTGGGATAGAGGCTGCCTGCAGGTTCAGAAAGGAGATAAGCCCAGTGAAAAAAGATCACTGGAGGCACTGACAGAATTCCCAAAAATTTCTCAGTACTTCCCAGGCTGGCCCACAAACTGGTCAATTCGTTCCATAAGCTGAGCATTTCCTAGTCTAACATCCACCCAGATGGAGTGCACCCCTAGTAGCTTCTCCGCTCCACTAGGACCCCTGCCCCGACCTGTTCCAGCTCATCCTTCTAAGCTCCAAGGAGCCTTGTTCATGCTGGGAGCCTCTTTACCATGTAGTCCAGCCTGGGCTCTGTGGACAGGTCTGTCCTCATACTGAGGGGGAAGACTGATCAGGCTCATCAGTATGTCCCCAGGGTCTAGCCAGTACTCAAGGGTTAGCAAACAGTGAACCCATAAGTGGAACACTCCACCCTCCAAGTTCTCACATCCTGATGCTGTAAATGGTTCTTGGCCTACCTTCACAAAGGCCAACCTCTTCACACAAGATAAACGTTACTGAATTTCCCAAGTTTCCAATCCACTGAAACAGAGCTACCCCAAGAGAAGAAAACAGAGTGTGCCAGGATCAAGGTATCCTGTGCTTCCCCAGGCTGTGAGTGACCTCCCTTGTGGGGAGCCCTGTCTCTACTCGGGTGCTTAAGCTCAGAAAAATGCCCATCCTGACCAGAAATTCATATGCACATGGAAAATGGGAACCTCAAACAGTTAACACTCAGAGCAAATTAATGAACAGCATGTGGTTTTAGAAGCTGCTTACAATTCTTTAAAAAAGTGATGTCACTGCTTTCACACAATCACATGATAGGAGTTCACATGTGCCAGGGTTCCAGGTGTCAGTAAGTTAAAGCAGTTAACATACCTTACACATTTTCGCTATTGGGCCTCTTCAGTCATCCCTGCATGGAGTGTCTTACTTCACAAGTGCCTGTAAAATCTTACCCACCCTTCAAGGCCCAGACTCAATGCCATGCCACCTCCCACAGAAAAACAATCAGATGGGTTTTCCAGCTGAAACCAGAGGGTGTATTTGGATTTTCATTCTAGGGGCCTAGCACAGCCAGCTTCACATTAGTCATTTGCTTATACGGCTTAGTATCACCACCTATGGATTCTTGATGGAAATCCTTGCTTATTCATCTCTGCTGGGCCTACATGCAGGTCACACTCAACTTGCACCCAGCAATTAAGGCACGTGCTATCCACACTATCCAAGCTAGTCACATTTGACTGCCCAGGTAGTTTCTCTATAAAACTTACCAAAAGCCATAACATTTCCCTTCCTTATCTAGTGCACTCGAATGTGTATTGCCTTGTGTTCTACTTACCTTACTTTAACCTTCAGAATGAAGGTAGTTCAGGGCTTAGCTCTGCCCACACAGCCTTCGGACAAGCACCAAACGATCAAGTCCTGTTTTTATCACTCTTCTTTTCCTGTCTCTAACTGAGTATAATGCAAACTTCAAATATTTTAAAACGTCTATCTACTTAACGAAGATCCAAATGGAGTCATTTCGAGTTTCTCTAAAAAAGTAAAGACGCTCAGCAGGCGCTTTTACAGTAAGCTTTTGCAAATCGGTACCATTGCTTAACTGAATACTGTGCTCAGTGCTGGAGTCAGACACCCAGAAGGGGGCGCCCCCCGCCTGCCCAAGCTCCAGCAATCCGTTTCCCAGGACCTGGGAGCCGATCCAGGGCGCAGTCGTCCCCGCCTCGGGTCCCTACCGTGCTGATCCCCGCGCCCGTGTAGACGACCAGGTATTTGGCATTGCGGACGGCGCTGGCCAGCTCCCGGACTTTCCTCTGCAGCTCCTCCGGGTCGTCGCACACCTGCCAAGACAGCGAGGCCGGTCGTGAGCCGGCCCCGGCCCGCCCGCGCGCCCGCCCAGTCCGCCCGCGCCCGGGACTTGCCTCCTCCTGCCGCCGCTTCAGGCCCTCGCGCCGCCTGCTCCGGCCCTGCAGCTCGGTCACCAGGTCCTCGCTCTCGGCCAGAAGCCTGCCCTCCTCGGCGCTGCGCTCGGTCGCCGCCTTCCTCAGGATGCGCGACACCTGCAGGCGCGGGGCAGGCGGTGAGGGCGGCGCGGGCTGGGGACGCGGCGCGGGGCGGGCGGCGGCGTACCTGGCGGAGGCGCTCTCTCTGTTGCTCCTCTCGCAACCTCCGTACCCGCTCCGCTGCCTTGCGCTCGGACCGGCTCAGACCCCCGGCAGCCATCGCTCCTGAGGAGACTCGCGCTTCCGCTTCCGCCTCCCGGCAGGCCACGCACCAACGCATGCGCGCAAGAACCGCCCCGCCCTTCCGCCCCGCCCGCGCGTTGCCCCAAGGAAACACCTGCCAGTCTCTTTAAAAGGTGTTTATTGATCATATACAAAATAAAGAAAACCTTATATATCACAAACATACACTATGTACAGCAATAAATACCCGGGGCCTGGCCCAGTGCCGCCCCTCCTGGACAATAATTTAGCAATAAATACTGCACAGGGCAAGGAGAGCACGAGGCCACGGCCGCCCAGGTCAGCCAGGGTACCCCAGTGAGGTCCTTCCCCACCTGGATCTTCAACAACCCCCGCCCGCCCCGGCAGATCCCAGCGTACCCCCGGCCCCCCCACTTCCTGTCTTTAGCCTTAGGCAGTTAGGATCTGATCAACTCTGCTCGGCCCACCTTCTCAGTGCCAGGAGAGCAGCAGAGCTGGACACACTGGACAGCCCTTATCCTGCTGCCCTAAGATGCCAGGAGAAGGTTTTCTGTACCCACTCCCGTTTGGTTAAAGGCTTCAGGGACTAGCAGTTTGGGGGATGTGGAGAGGGTGGGGCTGGGACACAAGGTTGTTAGAGGGGTCCCCCTTCACAGGTCACTAGGGACGGCCCTCCTAACACTCCAGCTCAAACTGGAGGGACACCCACGTACCAAGGCTGCTGCTCCAGGGAGGGGTGGAAATGTGTGCGACTGGTCCAACAAGTATAGCACATGCTCAGGGGACAGACCAGAGCAAGACAAGCTACCAGCCTCCAGGGCACACCCTTGCCTCTTCCCATCGGTTTCAAAACCAGACAGCTAACAGGAAGGCAAAAACCTGCCAGGAAGAATTATTCGGTGGCTTCTGGGGGAAAAAATCGTTAATGTGTTGGTTCCTTTCACCAAACCACAGCCTAAAAAAGTAACTCAGAAGATCCTAGAGCGGAAACAGTGCTGCAGGCTGTGGCTTTCCAGCTGTGGACAGAAGCTTTGGCCAACCAGCCACCCCAGAGAGGGAAGCAGCAGTGACACGATGGGACTTGACCATCTGTCCCAAAGCAGGCTGCAGTGGATCAGAGCTGCAGGCCCAGGCACTGACCACTGAGGCTGCTGCTGATGGTCAGGGTTGTGCCCAGACCTGGAGGCCTGGACCAAGAATATGAAAGCCTCCAGGGAGACCTGGCACCTGGCAGAAACCAGCACACCACCCAGCAGCCATAGCTTCTCCAACGCAGTGAGTGCAACCTGGAGCAGTGGCCAAGAGCCCCATGGAGGGCTCCCTGGAGCCATAACTCTGGGCAGGAGCTGACCTGTTCCCAAAGGGTTCGCCTCTGAAATCTGAGTGTCCATGTTGGGATAAGGGAAGACTGGGCGAGGGCAAAGTGTAGGAAGGTGCACATTATGGTTTACTTAGCGGACAAGTTTGGGATACTTGGCCTGAGCCAAAGTCCTCAATTCGCTGTGTCAAAAAGTTGAGGAGAAAGAGAACACGACACACTCACAGTAGGAAAAATGAATTAACGAGAATAAAAAAGACACCAAACAGCCACATGTGGACACAGGATCTACTGTCAAGGACCAAAATGAAATGGGGGGGGGGCAGAGAAGCCCCAAGAAGCTGGCTTAAGGGGAGCAAGATGCTCCCCAGATCCAAGGAAGAGCCGCTCCAAATCCAAAAACCTCAAAAGGAAGCATAGCCTCACTAAATCCAGACGTGTCTGTAAACCAAACCAAGGACCTGTAATTCTGTTCAGCACATGCCCACCCTCAAACCTTCCTCTCTCCAGGTCTACAGCATGACAGGAGTGCACAGAGATAGAGGCTCCACCTCCAGAACAAAAGTGGGGACTGTACTTGGACACGGAGAGCCTGTCCCTCCCCTTGTCCAGGACAGGGCATGATCTCTCTTTAGGGATTCTTATGATGTGATTCCAACTTGCTGCTACAAACAACATCAACCACTCTCTTCTGGACCTTAGGTAGACAAAGCCAGACTGCAGGGAGCGAAAGGAAGCCACTAAGTGATTCAGAGTCAATGGTCAAAATCTCCATTGCAAGCCAACCTGGGTATAGCCAGGAATGTCTCTGAGTGTCTAGGGCCAAGATCAAGCCCAACAAGACAACAGAAGTAGACAGCCCAAATTCCCCAGAGTTTAGGCATGCTGCATCAAACTCTGGGATGAAGATTCTACTGTCTACAAGGTTAAACCCTGCCAGGTCACATTGTTTTTCTTTTCACCAGCCCACTTCTGTGCTTTTTCGAGGGGTTCAGGGCCCCCAGAGAAGCCAGCCAGCGACCCCAAGTAGTAGCCAAACCCCACATGGCCAGAGCCAGGGGAGCAGCCTCTTGGGGGGCGGGGCAGGCACCACAGACAGCCCCCCATCATGTGCCTACAAGCAGCTGCCCAAGCCAAGTCTGAGACTGGCTGCCTCACTGAGTTGCCATGACGGGAAGGTGGGCTCAGCCCTGGGGAAGCACCTCCACAAGCTGAGCAGTGGATCCCTGGAAGACACAGACCCCAAAGGGCGGTGAAAGAAGGCCCAAAGCCAAGAGCTGCCAGCATGGTCGGGGGGAGAAGAGGGACAGGACTTGGCCTCGGAGACCATAGCCCTTGTCTGGCACTGGTGGGGACCCACAGGTCTTCAGGCAAGGAGAAGGGGCTGCTCCAGGTGGGCCCCGAAACCACCTGGCTCTGCCTGGGAAGCACCGTCCCGCAGCATAGAAACAGCTCTGGGATAAGTGGGCAGTGGGTCCCTGGGCTTCCCCTGCTGAGGCCCACCTGAAACCCACAGGAACAAATCTCTGATTGGTGGCTGGAGCCCAAACACGGTGACTGAAGGCCAGAAGGAAGACAGCCAGGGGCAGCTTGGCCCTGGCCTGGTGGGCACCCACAGTGACTCCTTGTTCCCTTCGAGCCCCCACCCAGGGCCACAGGCCAAGGATAAGGAAGTAGTGCGGGGAGCAGTGGGGTGGGGCGCCCAGGATAGCCCCCATTTTCACCTACACTGCCGCTGGATCAGCCCAAGCCTGAGACACACGTGCGAAGCCAAGGGTCAGCCTGGGGTATGGCAGAACCCTGCAACTGACCCCTCCGCCCTGGGGCTCAAGGTGAGTGCCAAAGCAGAAGAGGCAGGGCTGGTGGTGCAGACCCCCAAGCTCCACTGGAGCAGGTGCAGCCCGGCACGACAGCCTGGGCCTGACAAGTCAGCGGAAGCAAAACCACAACCAAATCCAAAAAAACAAACACGGGAGAACAGACACAAGAAGTGACACCCACAGGTCAAAGGTCACCAGAAGCACCAGCACGTGACGCTGCACAAGACCTCACCAGGCACGGACGACACCACGGCACCGGCAAGAGACGGAAGCAGGAAGGGGCAAGGGAGTAAGTCACTTTCGGTACAATTGCAAAAGAGATAGCAAAGAGGACGTCAGGACGCGCCTTCTGGTCGCTCGCGGCTTGGCTTTTTTTTGTCTTTTTTTAAACTAAGTTTTATAAATAATGTCTGATAACTCTGTGTATATAAAAACTAAACTCCAACAGCCACAAAGACTTGTCTGTAAGTTTACAAGAAAGGATTTTTTTTTCTTTTTTTTAAACTAGCAAAGTTTCTATTATACTTTCTTCCCTTTTCCATGTATATGGTCAAATGTTCTTGCTTTTTTTTTTTTAAAAAGACAGTTTTATAAATACTCTGCAGCTTTTTTTTTTCTCTAGCTTTTAAACATATAATTTAATAACTTCGTAAAAGGAACTTCTCTCTTTTAAATAAAGGGCTATGTAACCACACAAACAGGTCATGTAAACAGTGACACGGGACCCATCGAAGGACACTGGACACACCCTTCACGCTCACAACCAGTGATTTGGTCTTGTTCAGTGCAACACGTCAGGCGTGAGTGCCAAGGCCCCTGGCCCACAGCCAGACGACGTCCCATCCCCCCTAGCGCCAGACTGGTGGCCCGCCTGTCCAGGGCCCTTGGGGACAGCCGATCCCGTCTAGGCCTGTGGGCTGGGCTGAGAGTGAACCTCCTGGCTTCCTGCTAACCCGGTGGCCGTCAGAGCCTGTGGGTCACTCCATAGTGAGAACAGCCTCTCCTGCCCTGCAGCCCTCCGTGCTCAGGGGAACATGCCCCAGAGAACCCGCTTGATTTTCCTCTGTCCACACCCACAGGCTGACTCTGGACTCCAAGCCCACTTGCCCGTGGTACACAGGGGGCGGGGGCGACCCCACGTCACCGCCAAACTGACCAATCCCAACGTACAAAACACACGATGACAAAGACGAGATCAAAGGGGCTCAGCCCAGCGCCCCTGGGGTGCAGGTTGTGCTTTGCAGGGAAGGGAGGAGGTAGGAGAGGAGGAAAAGGAGAGAAGAGGAAGAGGAGGGAGGAAGAAGGGGACAGGGCTGCCGAATTTGCCATGCGCCTACTGGCCCCTTGCAGACCCGCCTGGCCAAGTGTGTCCCTACGACCGGGCGTCCGTCTTGGACTTTACTATTGTGATGACGCTGGTGGCAGCCACCTTGCCAGGGACAAGGGGCCCCAAGCCAGCAGCAAGGGGACCCCGAGCTGGCGCCACAGGGCTTCGGGCCACGGTCCTGGCGAAGTTCTGCAGGGCCTCGTACTTGGAGCGGAGGGCATCGAGCTCCAGCTTCATGCTGGCGTTCTCAGAGGCCAGCTTCTCCACCTCCTGCTGCAGCTCCGCCTTCTGCTTTTCCAGCTCCTCCTTCTGGGTCACCCGCTTCACACGGCAGCTGGCGGCATAGCCGCGGTTCTTGAGTGTGCGCCGGCGCTGCTTCAGCTGGATGATCTCCTCCTTCGACAGGCCCCGCAGGTGCTGGTTCAGCTCCCGCACCGACATGGTCACCAGCTCCTCGTCCGTCAGGCTGGTGCCATTCTCTCCCGGCTCCCGCTTCACCTGGGGAGGGCACAGCGCACGAGGTCGTGGGCCAAGTGGAGGCCATCCACCCCTGTGCCATCCCAGCCCTGAGACGCTGCCCACCCTATCTGCTCACCTTCAAGGCCTTGTTTCCTTTATTGGGGGTCGTCATAACCCGGGGGGCACAGCAAGCAGGCACTCTGTGAGACAGGGAGCGAAGGTCAGGACCCTGGAGACCACACCCTTTCCCTCCCCAATCCACACAGAGCCTTGAGCCCCCCTGAAACCCTCTGTCTACCCAGGGGAACACACCCAGCCCCGCCCCGCCCCCCCAGCCTCACCCCTTGCCTGCCCCTTCCCTTTGATACCTGGGTTCTCCAGAGCTGGGTTGCTCCCTGTCCACCCTGCCCCTAGGGACCTAGGTGGGAGGCTAGGAGGGTCAGATGGGGGAAGGGAAACTGAAGGGCTATTAGGGAGGCAGAGGCAAGTAAAGGGGCTGGGAGTGGAGGGGTAGAGATTAGAAGGATGCGGGAGGGGCCAGCCTAGAAGGAAGCCGGGAGCTTTAAAAATAACCCCAGTGCGCCCCAGAGCATGGCTGTTCCTGGCGAGTCATGCTGACTCAGCACATCGCTCCCGCTCTCTGCTCTCTCACCGGCCTGGCACTCCCTGAGGCTGCCAGCCAACACAGCCCCAGGGGACTGGCAGCAGCAAGCTGCTGGGGCGGTGAAGGCCAGCCTGGCCAATAGCAGGTGAGGGTCGGGGCCAGGGTTCTACCTCCCCTAAGCCGCCTGGGACAAAGCCCTGCTCCCGTGAAGGCTCAGTGAGCTGTCCCCACTGGGGACTGAAGCAAAGGGGAGGATGCAGAAGACTGCCAATTCTCCTAGACTGTTCACTTTGAAGAGTAGCAAGCAGAGTTGTCCAAGCCGCTCTGACTTTGTCTTTAGCACCGGTGGGAGCTCCCCACCCTCCTGGCAGCAGACACTCCTGCCAGGGGAGCCCGGCCCCATGCCCCTCCGCCCTCTTTGTCCACCTCTGTTGCCGATGGAGTAACCATCCTGTGGCTTTGGTTGCAGCTTTTTGTGCCCCTGCCCCACCCCATCCAGGGTATTTCACAAGAGTGCCCACAACTGACCCCCCAGGGGCCTGCTCAACCCTTTCTGGCCAGTGACTATTCTCTGGCTCCCTGGTTGGGGTCCTACCCACAGGGCAGGGAACAAAACCCAGAGGGCCCCCTCACCCACCCACTTGGTCATCTTTTCTGCATTCTGCCCTCACTTTCTGCAGCCCTGTCAAGCACATTTCTCCCCACTGAGTCCTGGGATTCCTGGCTCAGCTGGACCACCTCTGTCCCCTTGATCCCTCCGTGCCCTTTCAGGTTAGATGCAGGGAAGTAAATGGAGGCCTGACCAGGACTGTGGTGCCCTCCTGGAGAGGCTATGGCACCACTGCTCTTCCAGAGCAGAGGAGCTGGAGGTCACAAGGTCTTCAGGGCCCCACGCCTACCACAGGAGCCAGGTCCTCCAGGTGGAGCCAGAAGGGCTCCCCCAGCTCTGAGTTCGGGTCCAGAGTCACTGAGTTGGTCCTGCCACTGTCAGCGTGAAGGAAAAGCCCTGGCACCAGCTTTTCCCACGCGCCATCCTCCCCCCACCCCCAAATGCTGAGCATACGGTGACTTCCTGAAGAGATCACACAGAAAAGTGCCGAGCATGGCGGCTGGGAGCTGAAAAGTGCCTTCTCGGCAGATTTCACCCTCCACAGAAGCCCTGAACTCAGCACAAGTGTAGCCAATCGCCTCCTAATCAAAGGTGTGCCAGTGCGCAGCTCGTGAGGGGGAGGGGCGGGTCTTAGCAAAGCAGGGGCTTCCGACCTCCTGGCCTGGTCTCCGCTACCTGCAGACTCACACTGCTGGGACGGAGACAGCTTTTGGGCAAGGGATGGGACTGATGGCTCAGGGCACCACAAGAAACCAGAGGGAGAGGATTTCAGAGGCCAGATCAACGAGAACCTTTACCCTGTTTCTTGTCTCTGCTTCCGCTAAGGCTGAGCACACCTTGTGGAGAAGGCATGGGTGGTCCCAAAGGCAGGGATCCACCAAGGTACTCAGGGCCATTCATTCAAGCTGAGAGCCCGCCAGAAAGGGGAGAGAGAGCTCCATCCTCTTTCCCGGGTGTGGACAGCAGACAGGAGGCCACTCCACCCCTGCTCCTTCTCCTGATTACAAACACCAGTGGCCAAACTGCCCTGGCAGGTTTGGCCTTGGTCACTCTGGCACCCTCACCTAGCCCACTGCACTCCCACCCTGCCCTTTAGACCAACCTTCTCCAGAAGCCCTTTGTAGAGTCTAAAACTTAATTTCGACCAGAGCATAAGTAGCTAAGAAGAATCTACACGTTCCTGGGGCATAGAATTCCAGCCAAAAGATCAGCTGAAGTGTTAAAACACCAGGCATCTATAAGCCCAGGGCTGGACAAGGAGGACAAAGCACAAGGTCAGCCTTGGCTAGCCATCAACCCCTGGGCAAGAGCAGTCAGCTCTGGTCTAGACGGAGTGCTCCCCTAACCCTGAGACCAGGAACCACTTATACACCCAGGAAAAGTAGCTCAGGCCACACCACCCTCAGGCTGTCACTGCCCAGGAGTCCCTCCCTACCACTGGCCTGACACCCAGCAGGGCCACGTTCTTCGCTAACCTGCACAGTACTGAGCCCCAACCTCAAGTGGAACCACTCTGGGGTGACTGGGATTCGTCAACTCCTGCCATCCACACCAGTCCACTTGTTATGCCCTGAAGGCTAGGCACCCTCAAAGTTACCACCACTCAGGCCCCAAGGCAAGGCTGTGAAGAAAGCCAAAGCCTGCTCACCAGACACCTCACTCCCCTGAAGTCTAAGTCCTTCTGCTTCCTCTCCTTTGCAATTTCCTGGTAGAGCTGCACCGACTTGCCCCTTGAACTGTCCACTGTCACCGAGGACTCAAGTGCAGGCACCCCTCCTTCTCCCACTGCCTCATGTCTTCCCACCTGAGGCAGCCCAGCCTGGCCAACCACACCAGCCATAGGGAAAGCCTACTTCCCAGCCCGCTAGGACGCCCCCCCCCCCCCCACCCCAAGCTCCTCCCCTCTTCTCAGAACTATTTCCCAGTTTGGGGAACTGTCCCAGAGGCGGGTCAGGGACCAGCAGCCTGAGAAAAGCCTGCCTGGGAGGGGATGGACAGACCAGGGGCTTCACCCTCTACCCTGGGATAACCCGCACCGTGACCGCTCTGTTTACTCCTCACCCTCCTATCGTAAACTCACGTATCAGTCTAAACTTAAGCTGGCGCCCCAGCCTGGGGCCTGGCCCCTTCTCACTTCCCACGGTTTCCTTCTCACCGCTCGTTTCCCGGCCTCTCAGGCCCCTAGCTCAAATCCCCCCAGGCATTAGGACGAGCATCTAGTGACCTCATGCTGATGACTCAGCAAGTCTCCCTCTGGGCTCTGGCACGCGTGTGACGGAGCGAAGCCGGCGCGGGCAGGGTCTTCCCAGCCCCCCCCACGTGCCGCCTCCTCCCCCTAGCCTGCCAAAGACCCCGCGCCAGGGAAGCCTTGACACAGACACCTGATGAATCAGCAGCTCAGGCCGGGGCCGCCGAGCTCTTCCGCGGAGCCCTGGGCGCCCTGCTCGACCCCACCCTTTCCTCCCGCCACCCCGGCCGCCCCTCCCTCCAGGACGCCCCGGCTTTACCTAACCAGACCAGAACACGCCCCGCCTGCCCCCGAGAACCCCTGCGCCCACCCCAGCACCCCCGGCTCAGGGGCCAGGAACCGCTCCTGACCGGTGGGGAAATCGAGGCACGGGCCGCCAGCAGGGCACAGGCAGACCCAAAGACCGAAGTACCCGGCCCGCGCCGCCGGGAGGAGCCGCAGCCCCGCGAGCACCCGTCCCCGGCCTGGAATCCCCGGCCACCCTCCGTCCGGCCCTAGCCCAGCCGCCGCCGCACTCACCCACCACACTGCGGGCCCGGCGGGCCGAGGCCGGGGCGGGGCGGGGCGGGCACTCCGAGGCCGCGCTGGGCTGGCCGAGCGAGTACTCCGCGCCCAGAGTGGGGGCTCGCCGCTTGCGCGGGCCGCGCCGAGCGCGCTGGGAAGGCCGGGCTGGACCAGGCTCGGGGCTCGGGATTCTCCGCCGCCGCCGCCGACACCGCCGCCACAGCCACCGCCGCCGCCGCTCCACAGACGTCACATGATGTTTGGTCACGTGGGCTCCATTCATGAAGCGGCGACGCGACCGGCTGGGGCTTAAAGGGGAAGACGCGGCGGCCGCGGCGGCGGCGGGGGCGGGGCACGCCTACACTGCGCCTGCGCGCCCTACACGGTCGCCTGGGCAACGCGCGCCGCGCCTGGTGGGTGAGGTCTCGCGGGACTAGCCCAGGAGCGCGCTCCCGGCCAGCCACGCCCACTTCGAGGCGGGGCCTGGCGATCCTGCCCAAATACTCTTCTGTGCCTTGTGTGCAGGACCTTTCAAAGGCCACGTGTCCAGGGCGCAGGTGCGGATCAGAGGTCCCACGCATAACGGAGAAGATTCTCGCGGTAGTTCTGATGCCGCCTGTCAGACTCTGCATGCACTGCCTCCATAACTGGAGCGGGCCTCAGCCCTGCCAGGAACATTGGCCTGGCTCACAGAAAACCCATATACTACCGGAGGTGAGGGTCTTGTCCAGGATTCAAAACTTAGGTCTGTCTGTCACTTCCAACATCCTTCCTGTAGTGTAATCTGTCTTCACCCAACATCCCGAGACCTCACAAGGACTCAGACGGTCCCTGGAACGCGTCTAGCTCAGAGTGGGTGAAGGGTAAACATCTGTTGAATTAACAGTTGATGTAGAAATTGTACCTTTCCTTTCCTGTTTCATTGGCATCTGCCTGGAACTCAGGTCACCGGTCTATGTCTGCTCCTGAACTTTCTGTTAGGTCTCACGACTCTTAAAAATTCCCAGAGAAAAAGGTGACAAAAGGCAGACAGGAAATTGAAGGGATCCAATTTCTACTTTGAAATTCTGGATTTACCTTCTCAAGTGTAAAGCCAGGAAGGGGGACCTACCCTGCCAGGCAGGTCAGAGGGATCAGGTGAGCTGAAAGAAGGATGAGTGAGAGAGGGGTTGCCTGTACTCAGGGGGATTCAGTGCCACTGAATGAATGATGGAGGCCAACCCAGGAGGCCCCCAAAGCCAGGACACATCAAGGTGTCAGCAGCTCTCTCTCCCAGACTCTAATTCCCTCAGAATCCCACAGGACCTTGTCACCTACTTTGCAGGGTTGCATGTGGTTGTCTTATCATCCTGTCTGTGTTCTTTAAGGGCAAGGCGTGTCCCCCTGCACCAGGTGTAGCCTGAGTCTCACAGATTATAGGGCCTTAATATACTCAGGGAGAGACTTCTAAAGCCCTCAACTCTTCTTTTTTTATTTTTATTTTTTCTTCTTTTTTAAATTTTTCTTTATTTTTGATTGTGCTGGGCCTTCATTGCTACATGGGTTTTTCTCTAGTTGCGGCAAGTGAGGGCTTCTTATTGCAGTGGCTTCTCATTGCACAGCACAGGCTCTAGATGTGTGGGCTCTGTAGTTGTGACTCTTGGGCTCTAAAGTACAGCCTCAGTAGTTGTGGCACACAGGCTAAGTTGCCCACAGTATGTGGAATCTTCCCGGACCAGGGACTAAACCCACGTCCCCTGCTTTGGCAGGCGGATTCTTAACCCACTGGACCACCAGGGAAATCCCACTCTCAACTCTTAATGTAGTAGACCACAAAGACTTGCCCCTGAGGCCAAGAAAGAGGTCTTCTTGGACCTCTCGCATCCTCACCACCAGCTGCAAGCTCTTCTGTCCTGCTCTGCTTAGGTCGCCTCATACTGGCAGGGATTTCTCCAGGTGTCACTTCCTGCAGGATACAAAACACCTCATGGCATTCTCCCCACATCACACCCCTTCTCGGGCCTGTGTGGCTCTGCCACAATTCCCCATCTCTGGCCTTTGGTGGCTGGAATCAAGGTTCACAGACCTGCTGGCTGAAACCCAGTGTGCTCTTCACAGGGTAGCACAAAGCTTGTTGCAAAGCTCATCTGGATCCCTGTGCTTCCTCCGAGATTGTGATAGGTGATTCCTTATTTTGGAACCACCTTCTGGCTTTCTCCAAACCCCAGACCAGGGCACGTGTGGGAGCAGCAAGACCCCCTCATCTTATTGGTAGACACCTGACACACAGGAGGTGCTCCAACAGTGAGACTGACCTTGACTTGAAGGGCACAGTCAAGGAGAGGCTTTGGTCCTGGGCAGATGTGTGGCCTGTGCGACCATCTCTTCCAGGACATGTTTCCCCCAGAGTGATGGTGCCAGGGTCTCCCTGCACTGCCAAGTACTCTGCCAGGCAAGGCCCATAGCTCACTCATGCTTCTACCCACCAGCATGGGGTTCCAGGGGCTCATGCCCTGGGGGGCCCTGCAGGAACTCCAGGCCTCATGAGGGCCTTGGGCACTTGGTACGTGGGGAGTGACTGGGACTCTGGAGGCCACCCTGACAGGGACAAGGGAATGTGGTCTTGCCCTTGTGTGCGTGCATGCTCAGTTGTGTCCGACTCTTTGTGACCCCATGGTCTGTAGCGCACCAGGCTTCTCTGTCTGTGGCATTTTCCAAGCAAGAATGCCGGAGCAGGTTGCCATTTCCTCCTCCAGGGGGTCTTCCCAACCCAGGGATCGAATCTGAGTCTCCTGTGTCTCCATCATTGGCAGGTGGATTCTTTACAACTGAGCCACTGGGGAAGCCCTAACTGCTGTAGTCTTAAGGCGGAAGCCTTAACTGCTGTTTTCTGTCTCCTGTAGATTTGGAAGGCCATGTCCTTGTCCCCAGAGTGTTCCCTTCACCCATCACATTTGCACAGGGCTTTGGTTCTAAGTGGGCCCAGAGGAAGGAAATGAACCAGAGTTGAGACCTTGTAATGCAATTCCTGGAAAACCGCTGCCCAGGGGCTCTCCTGGTCCCCTCCCATCACTTCACCTGGATGCCCCCTCCACCAACACCCTACAGATGCCCAGTCTTGTTCCTCTGACATACTCACTCAGGTGTGTGTGAGTGTGAACCTCTGGAGGCAAGGGGCCTTGTCTTCATGATCAGTAATTTGTTCATCAAACAAATGTGAGCCCTCTTGGCCCCAGAAAAGGTTCTGACCCTCAGCAGCTCCTCTGATCTTGTGGGCCTCTGATGATGGATAATTTTAAGTCAACCTGACTGGGCCATGGGGTGACCAGATACTATTTCTGCGAGGGTGTTTTTGTATGAAAGTTACATGTACATCAGTAGACCAAATTAACATTTTTTCTTTTTTTTTCCTTCAAATTAACATTTTAATCAATAAAGCAGATTGTCCTCCTTATGTGGGTGAGCATCACTGAAGCAGTTGAAGGCCTGAATAGAAGACTGACTCTCTGCAGAGTAAGACAGGATTATCCATCAGCCTACTTTCAGGCCTCATCTGCCTACATCAATTCTTCCTGCCTGATGGCCTTCAAATCAAAATACTGGTTCTCTGCGGGTCTCGAGCCTGCCTGCTTGACACCATAATTGTGAGCCAATTTCTCATGATAAATCATGATATGAGTTTTGCAACATATATAAAACATGATAAATCCTGTTTATATATATATGTGTGTGTATATATATATATAAGCCATCTCCTACTGGTTATTCCTCTGAAGAACTCTAACACATCTTCCTAGGGGGATTCTTCCTTACCTGCCCTTGGCCTTGCCTGGGTGAGCTGGGGAGACATCTATCCCCACCAAACCAAGAGGCCGAGGCTGGTACCCGTCACCCCCACAGCAGGGCCTGCCAAGACCAGCTACGGTGCCAGTTTCCTGTCATGCCTCTAGTGACTTTCCCCAGAAGCCTCCTCACACTCTGCTCACTGGGAAACTCAGCCCCACCAGCCAGGCTGGCTGACTTGGAATGTAGGGCTCTGGGCATGTGGGTGGCCAGCCTTCAATGTTATACCAGACAGCGACGACCCTCCAGCACAGGTAGGAGCCTCCCTCCCCATGTGGGGACAAAGTTACAAGTCCAGGCACTGGGGATGGAAACCAATTTATTTAATCTAAAAAGTTAAGAGACAGAGCTGACAGCGTCTGTGGGTCAGGCCAGGAAAGGGAGATGATGGTGTGAGTGTTGGAGCCTCAGGAGTCCAACCACCTGAGGAGCCTTTTTCTCAAATGTCGTGCTGGCCAAGAACCATGGCCCCTTCTGTGGGATATCGGGGACACTCTGGTTCTTCCCACACTGAGGAAAGAGTTGTGAGTGGGAAAAGGGCAGACATTCTCCTTGGGTGGGCCTTCATGGTGGGGGTGGGGGTGGGGCCTTGACCTTTGTACTCAAGGCGAAGCCAGCTAATGCTGGGCGGGGGGGGGGGGGGGGGGGGGGAGGGGGGCGGTAAAGAAAGCCCCCTCAAGCCTCCTGAGCTTTGGAGGAAGGTGGTCCTGACGTGGTTTGGGGATGGAGGAATTGGGAGGCTGAGGTCAGAGAATCCTTGTTTTGGACCAAGGATTGGTCCAACCTCCTTGGGGGACCATGGAGGTTCCCACTGGGAGGTGATGTGCCCCATCCCTGGCTATGACTCGCTGATCCGAGTGGACCAAGCCATGGGCAGTGTAGATCAACATGAGGACACCCTGTGCAGCCTGGGGCTGGATACTCTCAGCGCAAAACCTGCGAGCCCAGGAGGAGAAGGCGAAGAGTGGTCCGCAGGCAGGCTGGACCCCTCAGTCCTTCTTGCCTGCTGGGGCCATGCTGCGGGGCAGCAGCTTGGAGTGGCCAGAAGGGGCCAGCGAGGCACCAGGAGGGGAGTCCAGTTTCACCTTGTCCAGGACGGTTTTCTTGATGGCAGCTGGAGAGACCTTCTCCTGGTCGGCCATGGACTGCAGCTCTCTGGGGAGACAGTGAGGAGGGCTGCGTCAAGGGCCCCACCTCCTTCCAAGCTCAGTGGCCCAAGAGGGAAGTGGGAGGAAGCCCATGGCTTCCAGCAGGGAGCTGCTGTGCTGTCACTCCTACCTCAGGGCCTTTGTCTCTGCAATGCCCTCTGCCAGTGACCCCTCCCCTACACTGCCATCCAGCTGCCACTCACCGCATTCAGGTCAGCTCAGGGTCACCAGATCTCAGCAGCACCTGAGACACAGAGCCCTCTCAGCCCTGAGGACGGGACACAGGCATCATCTGCCTCCCTTGCAGGCTGGCACCCAGAGGGCAGTGCTGTGTTCTAGCCTCACTATCAGACAGTGGTAGAGAAGCCCGGGCACTTGGACTAGACAGCAGGTGGGGTGCTAAGAAACAGGCCTGTCCATCCTGCAGACCTGAACTTGCAACAGGGACTCTGAGCCAAGATGCCACACCGTGTCCATCCCCTGCTCTTTCAGCTTTCACTGCTCTCGTTGTGCCAGTACCTCCTACGCATCTCTCTCTCTCCCCGCAAGGCCAAGAGGAAGGTGGTATTGTTAGCCCCACAGGGATTTCCTCCTGGCCTGCCTCCCTGGCTTGGATGACCACCCCAGTCAAAAGGCCACAAGCGATGAAACAACATGAGGAGCAGAGCCTGGGCCCGGGAGGCAGCGCCTCCTCACAGGATGATGGGGGATGGTGAGGGATGCTGTACACTGCAACCCCAGGGCTCCCTGTGCCCTGCCCAATGCCAGGCCAAAGCTCAATAACCATCTGCTGAGCCAGTGACAGAGTGGGTGGGCAATGGCTGAGGCCCACCGTGTGCGGGTGCAGGAGGCTTCCACGGCATTGATGAGCAAAGAGCGAAAGCCCCCGCTCTCCAGAACATGCAAGGCATGGATGGTGGCCCCGCCTGGTGAGCAGACGTTGTCCTTGAGTTGGCCTGGGTGCTGTTCAGAGTCCAGTAGCATCTTGGCAGCCCCCTAAAGCCAGAGAGAGGGGCTGAAGGTTGTGAGGGTACTGCCGCCCCCCATCCCAGCCACACCCACTGACTCTCCACCCATCTGCCCCAATGCACCAGTCTTGGTCCTGGCAAGGAGTGACCCCCACCAGAGGGTCAGAAAAAACACTAACCAGCAGAGCCTGGGCCCCAAGGCGGACTGCCAGGCGTCTTGGAAGTCCCATCTTCACGCCTCCATCAGCCAATGCGTCCAGGGCTGTGAATGCCTACAGGAAGAAAGCACTTAAGCTGCTGTCCCAGGCCCATTCTCATCTTCCTCCGGGCAGTGCTTAGGACAGCAACCCTAGGGAACCTCATGGCTCCCCGTGCCCTACCCACTGCCCGGCCAGAGCTCTATAAACACCTGCTGTGCGAATGACTGAGTTGGTGGGCAGTGGTTGAGAACCACTGTGTGCAGTGGGTCTGCAGTAGCTCTGCCCGCAGAAGCCCAGAGCAAGGAGGAGGGTGGAAGATGGGGAGACATGCCCTGAGTTCCTGGGAACTGCCTACTTGCCCCTGCCCCTCCCCAGTTCTCACATAGGCTGGGCCACTGCCGCTGAGCCCTGTGACAGCATCAATCAGGTCCTCCTCCACCTCCGTGCAGAAGCCCACGCTGCTCATGAGCTGCTCCAGGAGCCTGCCGTCCTCCACCTGGGCATGGGTGCCTGTTGCATACACCGTGGCCCCTTCCCGCACCACGACCGGCGTGTTGGTCATGCAGCGGATGACTTTGGGAGCTGGCTGGAATGCCGTCAGCTTCTGGAGGAGAAACCAGCTGTGTGTCCATCCTGGCCCCATGCCCTGTGGGCTGTGCCGGATGTGGGTGTGAACGTGCTCACCCAACTCACCCAACCGAACACTTCCTGAGTTCTACAGGCTGCACCAACACAACACACCCACTTCACAGGTGGGAGACCCCAGGTGTGGAGCAGGCCAGGATTCCTGAGCCCTCTGCAGTGCACGCCTCTGCCCCATCTCCAGACCCTCGGGACAGCTTCAAGCCGCAGTGCTCACCTTCTCAATGGAGCTGATGGTGACGCCGGCTGCGCAGGACACCACGATGTGCCGAGCCTCAATGTCAGCGGAAATCTCATCCAGGATGAAGGGGATGATGTGTGGCTTCACGGCCAGGAAGAGTACGTCGCTGTGCTGCACGGTCTCCTTGTTGTGGGGCGTGAGGTTCACCCCCATCTTCTGCAGGAAGCACCCAGGCAGGCTCAGCCTGTGATTCGTGGCTGGCTGGCCCCCACAGTGTCCCCCCCAGGCCAAAAGCCCCTCACGTAGCCCCTCATCATAGACGATTCTGGGAATGTCAGCATGGCAGGGCTAGCAGCTCAGGGCATGGGGCGTTGGCATCCTCTAACTGCTACTCCCACCCCAAAGTGGAGGAAGCATTCTGCTCTGAAAGGTAACTCTTTTGTGGGTGGAAAAGGACAAGTGCCCACAGTCCAGGCTCACCCCACCTGGGTCTGCAGCCCCTAGACCCCTGCCCCGTGCCCTCCAGGTATGAGTAGTGCTATAGGTAGTGGGCTTAAGCTGGGAGTTTGCCAGCACCCTTGGAGCCCTCACTCAGCTATGGCAAACTGAAGCTGCATTCAGCCCTTGGATGTCTGTCCTGGCCCCCACACTGTGACCCCTTGTGGGGGCTCCACTCAGGGAACTGCATTCTTGACCAGCAACCTTTTCCCACCAGCTGCACATGTGCCCATCAGGCAGGTCCCAAGAGCCGAGGGAGGGAAGCCATCTGCAGTCCGAGAGGCAGAGTCTTTAAGATAGTCTTCCTCAGGGACCCTCTTCTCACTGGCGTGGGGAACTTCGGCACGGTGCCGCCCACTGGGGCCCCTACTCCTAGTCTTCCAGGGTCATGGCTGTCACATACTGGCTTCCAGAAATACTGACCAACCTCCAGAGGGACAGCCGCCCAGTCACCCTCCAACCCTGCACCTACCCTGAGGGCAGAAACAGTGGCCAGGTCCATGTCTGGGGAACTGGCCATTATCTTGTGGGCAGCCACAACACCTGCAGGAGACAACAGTCCCTCCCTCAAGGCCAGGCCTGGCATCCCTCCCCCACATTCCCAGGAAGAACAGAAATCCCCCCACCCCAGGGTAAAACAGCAACCACGGCCTTCCTCCAAACTTCCCAAGGCTACCGTTTCCCACGGCTCAAATGAGGCTTGTTATCCCGACTCCCTCTTCTCCTCGTAGCCTGGGGAAGGGTAACAGGCCAACCCTCTTACGCTTGTCCTTTACTGGCCATAGAGCCTACCTGCTGCTGTGAAGCCCTTGGCCAGGGCAAAGGCCAACTGGCCAGCCCCGATGAAGCCCACGCTCATGGTGTCTGGAGGTCTGAGCCCACCGCCCTCTCAGCTGGCACCGGCTCTGCAAGAACAACGCGGGACGATGGGGCAGAATCCAGCCCAAGAAGTTAGGCAAACAGTGCCAGCTCTGGCCACTCCACCGCCAATCGGAGTACCCCCGCCCCCGCCCTATCTCAGCCGGTCTAACTCTCCCCTACTCCGGTGCCCCGCCCACCGCGGCTTCCCAATCGGTTCCCGAGGGTCCCAGACACAGGGAGCTGGGACAGGCGCGCCCGCCTCCGGAAGAGGTCCGCAGCTCCGGAAGAGGGGAGACGAATCATCTGCGCCCCGACGCCCCCACGCCCGAATCCCCTCCCCACGCCCACACCTCCCCAGGTCCGAACCCCCTTCACGCCGAAGGCGAGGGCGCGGACCCACATTTCCTTCCCGCGGCAGCACCGCCCTCTCAAGCCCGACTTCAGCCTGGCCCCCGATAACCCAGTTACCCTGTACGTGTCGCCCCCAGTCTGCAGCGCCGCGCCCGCCACGCGGCACCCACTCCCGGGGGCCCCACCCCCGCCACCCCAGCCAATCCGCGGCGCGGCCTCCCTGGAGCCGGCCAATCCAGGGGCGCGGGAGGTGCCAGGGCCGTTGCATCATCCGCTCGCCCCGGCCCCCCGCCCCCGCCCCCGCCCCCTAGGCCCAGTCGCCCCCGCGCTTCAGAACCCGCAACCAGCTACCCTCAGCCCGGTCTCTGGACCCTTACCCACCCGAACCCGGACCGCGCTTGGGGACCGAGAGCGGCGGGGGAGGGGCGGCAGGAGCCGGGTTCTCAAAGAGCCTGTAGCTTGAACACGGACGCGGCTCTCGCTCGCTGTGAATACAGACAGGTTATTAACTTGATCGTCGAGTATGGAGGAGTACAACTAGATAGGATTTTTTCCTTTCTTTCTTGTAATGGTTTTTTTTTTTTAATTACTTGCTAGGCTTCTTGCTTTATTTTCGGGAAGGGGGGATTGAAAACAATTTATCAAATAAGAACATTTAAGGTATAGCACTATTTTGATACTGTATTTTGTCACTTAATTTTTTTTTTTAATTGTATCCGGAGGTGTGGAAACTGGAGAGACAGCCTGGGCTTTCTCAGAATCTCAAAACTGGGAGACACCTGGGAAGTCCAGGTCCCTCCCCCTGAGATCTGTACCCCTTCCTTCCCCACTACAGTTTCCCCTCTGTTAGTCTCAGGCTCAGGTGCCCTTTTAAAATTACATGGCCCTGGGAGTCACTGGCCTATTACCACCGTGACCCTCCCCAAGCAGGCTCTCAGGGTGGGTAGTGGTCAACCAGCAGATAGAGGAAGATGACCTCCTAGTGGCCCAAGTTCCCACAGAGCACCCCATGTCTCTTGACATCTTGTCTGCAGGGTCCGTGAAATCTTTTGGCCTTGGATTCTCAAAAGATCTCTAGTTATCTTTGTGAAGGACATGCTCGGGGCTCATTTGAACTGAGCCTGCTTTTGGGGTTCAGAATACTCTGGAGTCCCAGTCAGCAGCAAAGTTAAGAGCAAAAGTAAGAAGCAATCCTCATTGACAACCCATTCCCTATCAGGGGAGGGGGTGAGCTGCTTTTTTTTTTTTTTTTGGTTCTGTATCTTAAATGATGACAAGCTGTTCTGAAATGTAATTTCAGTGTATTCGGATGTTTGTGCCCCAGAAAGCAGGGCTGTGAGTTCTTGACATAATGACCAACACCAACACCACCAGACCACTGTGCGGTGAGCTCGTGTACACAGCAGATGTTCAGGCCTCCTTGTGTTTATTGTGGCGTTCAGTCCTCACCCTCTAAGGGAGGAGCTGTTGTAAGTTCCGGCCCAAAATGGCTTGCTCAGGGAGTGGCCCAGACTCAAACGCATAGATGCAAGGCTGGGGATCCTACCATGTTTTGGCTGTGTGTTATTAGAGAGGGGCCTCCCAGGTGGCTCAGTGGGTAAAGAATGTGGCTGCAATGCAAGCAACCCAGGTTCGATCCTGGGTATGGAAGGTATGGAAGATCGCCTGGAGGAAGGCATGGCAACCCCTTCCAGTATTCTTGCCTGGAGAATTCTATGGCTAGAGGAGCCTGGTGGGCTACAGTCCATGGGGTTGCAAAGAGTCAGACGTGACTGAAACGACTTAGCACCCACGCACGCCCATATCATCAGAGAACAGAGTCCGTCCTTTACAAAGTATTGTTTTTCGAGTGACAACAACAAATAACTCCTTCCTCCAAAGAGTCCTCTGATCCAAGGAGTGAATATCATGAGGACATTCCCCAGTGCAGCCTCTTGGGGGCAGAGGACATCTGGTACGCTTATCTTGAGCCCTGGAACCCTTCTCCTCCTCCGTCTACCCGCTCAAGACCTTTGAAATTTAGAGTGGATGTAGCTTTGGGGGCAGAAGACCACAGAACAGTGAACAAATTGGGGACGTGTGACAGATAACTCATTTCAGAAACTGGGTTAGAAAAGGAAGGAAAACTGTTCAGGCCTCCCTGTGGTCTGGGAAGGGTGTGGCCCGTAGGCGCCTTTGTCACCTGGTAACACGCTCCCAACCTCCACCCTCCTCAGTCAGCAGGGCCGCCAGGACACCTTGGATCATAGGGGTTCCTGCCCGCTCCTGGATCTGCTGCTGAACTTGGGCCTCTGCAGGTGAAGGACCCCTGTGCGTGTGCCCTCCCCAGTGGGCAGACAGGCCGTGTCTCTCTCACTATGCATGGTGCCAGCACAGGTAGCCCTCGGATGCTGTGCCTAAAAGCTGCTTGGGCTCTGCTACCATGAGTGTAGTGGCCCCTCTGCCCACTGCCATGCCCAGGACCCCTGGAAACCCCAGTGGTGGTGGTGAGTGCTGAGAACTCCCCACCCCCATCTTCCCCTTGTTGTCGCCCACTACTTCCTGAGGAGACTGCCCTCCCACCACCCAGTATCTCAGCGCCCCACCTCCCCCGCGGCTGCCTCCTTCCTCAGCCAGGTCTGCTCTAGGCTCTTCTCTGGGAACATTCTGGCAGATGGCCCAGGAGATGCAGGTGGCCACCACCCCCTCTGGCTATCACCCGCTTAGCAGAAACTACTCCGTGCAAATCAGCGTTGGTGTTTATTTCCTGCTCAAGGCCATGGGCCAGGCTATGGGCTGAGCGGCTACTGTGCTTGGGCAGCTAATGGTCTGCTCCAAGCTGGCCCAGTCTGGGCCCTTGAGTGGGAGAAGCTGGCTGGAGCATGGAGAGCAGTGACCCCAACAGGCCCTGGTAGACAGTGACCAGGCAAAGGAACTCTTGAGCGGAGGTCGTTGGTCTGTGAGCACCAGAGTACCAGCGCCTGGTACCCAGGTTCGTGTCTCAGTGGCTGCCCCAAGCTGGTCCTCCTCTGGATCAGGGCTGCCCCAGGCCAGGTCCCCCGGGTCCTTGGCAGGTACAGCAGGAGCTGCTACATCGGGGTAGACGCTGGGGGCTCGGTGGTGGCTCCCTGGTGGGTGAGAACCTATTGTCTTCCTAGCGTGCTGTGCCCTTAGCAGTGTTGCTGGCCCCTATGGGCTCCTCCAAGCCTACGCTGCCTGTAGCTTGCTGAGGCTGCCCTATGCGACCACACTAGAGTCCTTGCTCAGCTTCTGAGGCTGTGGCTACTCACAGGTGGGCAAGGCAGGGTCCTAGTTCCCGGCTCCTTCTCCACGTACAGGCACAGATACCCTAGCAGGGGGGCATCTGCCTGGATCTTTCCAGGGTTCCAAAAACTGCCCCCTTAAGGCCAGAGGAAGCGCTGGCTTCCCACACCCCTCTGCTGACCTGGCTCTGGCCCTCTCCTGGGTTCCCTTCTGACCCCTTCCCACACCTCTGGGAATTGTCACTTTTCAACTCTACTTAGGTGACTCAACCCAGACATGGTCTCCAAACACTGATGGGCTTTTGGGCCAACTTTGTAATCCTGGTCTAAAGGTCCCCATCTGCATGGTGGGTCACAGGAGTGCCTGTTTCAAAGGCTTCTCATGTGTTACAGGGGCCAGCACTGAGGGAGGGCATGCTGGGAAATGGAGAGAGATGGAAAGAGAGAGAGAGAGAGACAGAGATAAGAGAGACAGAGAGATAGAGTGGGAGTTGCCTGGCGAGACTCCTCCTCCATGACCTGTTCATGGCCTCCTGCCCTCTCTGCCCCTCTGTCCCCTCTCTGAGCCTCCCTGAGCTGCACTGCTGAGCACTGCCAGAAACCCTGCCATGGCTCTCTTGGCCGCCTCCCTCCAGTTCGTCCTCAGGGGTCTGCGTTCACCTGGGTCTTCTCATGATGCCTGAGCCCCTGGAGAGCAGAGGTGGGTGGGCTGCTGCCACCTGTTATGCTAGAAGGTGGGCACGAAGCGGATCCTCTGGGAGTAGGCCAGGTCAGCGACGTAGAGGAGCAGGTTGACGTAAGTGAAGGTGGCCACTACCAGCTGGCTGTCCCAGGGGCAGCTGCCCTTTGGGCAATCGGGGGGCCGCCCAGGCTCACCGTACTTGGGGTCGAAGCAGAAGACGGGCCAGATCACTGCAGCACTGAGGTAGAGGAGCACGGCCAGGAAGGTGTACACCACCACCACACGGTCGAAGGGGCAGCCCAGGCCCCCGGTGTGACCCAGCACACTCAGGACAACCACCACCACCGTGGCCAGGAAGCAAAGGCTGTAGACGGCCACACACCACTGGGTGGCCACGTAGCGCCCATAGTGGCTATCATGGACCAGCGCCCCGAATATGATGCAGGCCACAAAGGCCTGGACGATCTTGAGGAGGCCTGATACTGTGGCCATGTAGCTGGCCACCTGGCCTGGCCGGGCCCGGGTCAGGGCCACCTCCGTAGCGTAGGCCAGGAAGAGGAGCCCGGCGAAGACGCTGGCTGCCAGGCGGAAGTTCCTGGCCGTGCAGCCCTCGGGCTCAGGCGGACACTCCAGCCGGGTGAAGTACAGTGGGTAGATGACTGCCGCCGTAGCAGACAGCAGCGTGGCGAGCATAGCGAAAGCCGCCGTGAAGTTTCCCCAGGACAGGCGCAGACAGCCGTGTAGCCGGGTGAACTCGCAGGCCACCACCAGGACGGAGAGCGCGAAGCAGAAGCCCCAGGCTGACATGCAGAAGGTGCCCTGGACACCCGAGAAGCTGCCCCGGTGGGCCACCAGGCTGAAGGTGGTGCAGCCGAAGACCAGCTGCAGCACGCGGGCCGTGCCCACGGGAGACGTCACGGCACCTAGGTGCAGGTAGCCGCCCCCGGGGGGCTCCATGGTGCTGCCCATGTGGCCGGCTGCGTCCTCGCCTCACACAGTGCCCGGAAACCCTGGGGTCTCTCTCGGCTCCGTCTCCTGCGGCAGTGGCAGGTGCCGGCAGCCTGCAGTGGCGGTGACGCCGCTGGTGACATTGCAGCAGAGCAGCCTCTCTGCCGCCTGTGTGTGTCGGGGGGAGCCGAGGCCCCCCCAGCGCTATAAATAGGTGACTGGGATCAGAGCCCCGGAATAGCAGCCTGAGTGCCTGTCCCCATCCTGGAGGGACATCTGACCCTTGCGTCCCGCCAAGCCCCGGCCAGTACCATTAACCCCTTGGCTGCTGGCACCGCCTCCACCTCCGAAGCACCTGCTTCTGTCGGTCAGTCAGCTCCGCTGCCCGGGGGAGGGGGGAGGGAAAAGAGCAGCAGGGACCAGGCGCCCCAGCTCAGGCAGCCTCTGCAGCTGTGCTGGGGGCGGGGCACAGAGAGAAGAGGGCAGCAGCCGCTCTGGAGGCAGCGATCTGTCTGGGAGGCCTGCGGCACTTGGTTCAGCGCTGGGATGGTTTCAGGACCCCATTGTCATCATCCCTCAGCCCACACTCAGCTCTGATTCCTGGGAGGCGGTGGGGAAGGGGAGTGGAAACCCTGAGACCCTTTGCCCAGCTCCCAAAGGTGCCCACCCTGATTCTCGTCACCCTGACCTGGGGGCTGAGTTTTAGCTTTTATTTGTGGGGATTATAATGGAACTTTTTACTTGATCCTCCTAGTCATGTAAACACCTAGGAAAAACTCAACTCTCCCATTTTTAGCCTAACATATTAACAATAGGGACTTCCTTGGTGGTCCAGTGGCTAAGACTCTGTGGCCTCCTCAATGTAGGGGCCCCAGTTTGATCCCTGGTTGGGGAACTAGATCCCACACACCACAGCCAAGAGTTCATGTGCCACAACTAAAGATCTTGCTTGCTGTAACCAGACCTAGGGCAGCACAGCCAAATAAATAAGTATTAAAATAAAATAAAATATTAAAAATATATGAAATGTTTTTGAAAAGGAGAAAAAACTTTTTTGACTGTGAAAGTAGTTTTTGTTCAGGCCCAATCAACACATGAAAAGTGTAATTAATTTGCCTAGTATTCTATCACCTGTGTTCAGTGCCTGAATATTGGCTTTCTATTAGGTATTATAAGTTACCTAGGGATGATGCAAAGTATTGAGGAGGGGACTTACCTGGTGGTCAACTGATTAGAACTTGGCACTTTCATTCTCATATCCTGGGTTCAGTCCCTGGTTGGGGAATTAAATCCTGAAAGCCACCAGGTGTGGCCAATAAATAAATAAATAAAAATAAAGTGTACGAGAGGATGTGCATAATATCATGCCGTTTTATACAAGGGACATGGGTTTCAGTGGATTTTGGTATCCTGGTGGTGGGAGTGGGGGGGGGTGGTTCTAGAACCTATCCCTTCTGACACAGAGAGACAATTCTAAGTACAGTCTTATGTGTATTTCTGCCAACTTTTCATTTAGAAAATTTTCAGATTTACAGACAAGTTTCAAAATAGCACAATGAACACTCATATGTCTTTCACCCACATTCAAGAATTATTAATATTTTGCCCTGTTCATGCTATTTCTCCTCCTCCATTAATAATTAATAATAACAGTAATTCTGGCAATGTGACAATTCTCCGCTAGATACTTCCATGGACACCTAAGAGCAAGGCCATTCTCCTACAGTACCTGAACTCAGTGGCCACACTTGGGAAATTGAAGAATGATCACATAATATACACAGTCATGGGCTTCCCTGGTGACTCAGTCAGTAAAGAATCTGCCTGCAATACAGGAGACCTGGGTTTGATCCCTGGGTTGGGAAGATCCCCTGGAGGAGGAAATGGCAACCCACTCCAGTATTCTTGCCTGGAGAATCCCCATGGACAGAGGAGCCTGATGGGCTACTGTCCACGGGGTTGTGAAGAGTTGGACACGGCTGAGCGATTAAGCACATAATACACAGTCTTTCAGTTTTCCCCACCTGTCCTGAAAATACACCTTAAAGCATTTAAAGTTTTTGTGCCAGGATTTAATTGCAATTATACATTGTGTTTGGCCATCATGTCTCTAACTTTCCTTTATTCTAAAATAGTCTCTATTTTTTTTTATATTTCATAACACTGATTTTTAAAAAATGTCCCAGCTGGCAGCTTTATTGATGGTCTTTCAGTGTGTTCTGTCTGTTTGCTCATGTTTAGATCCCAGCTAAATGCCCTTGGCAGGAAAACCATGTGGGAGATGTCACCTGTCAGGAGAACTGTGATGGCTATACATCCAGAGTAAGAAGTTTGACCATCTTTTGGGGTGGTGTCCATGTCTCGTGCCCTTGTGATTCTCCCAGGCGTCCTGGCATCCCTTTATGCTTCTTATGGGTGGTGTTCTCCATGAACACACACCCCCTTTAAAAGTAGAATTGTGCTGGTCATCTGACAACATGTTTGTTGGCGATGTTTCCAGAGGAGTTAACATGACTGTAAACACAGGATTCCTATTGCTGTTCAGAAGGTTGGCAGGCCCTCCGAGACAGTGTCTGGACACTGCAGTGGAGTGGAGTGGGCAGTAAGGTCTCACCAGCCAAACTTTTTATGGAGCCCCTTAGGAAGGATAACCCACCTTCTCTCTCCAGGCATCCGCAGCACGTGCTCCTGACCCTGGACAAGGGAATGAGGGGAGCACGGGGCCTTAGGCTTCAGGGGTACAGACAAGCTGGTTCCACACCCTTCTGCCCCATGATCAGAGAAACCTGGAAGGAAGTCTTGCACAGAGCGGACGGTTTAGTTTATCTCAGAAGCAGACATGTGCCAACTTCAGTCCAAGTTCTTAGCTCAGCGAATCCTAAAGGTGAACATGCCCACATTTCTCGACCACACAAACCGTCCTTGGGGCATCAGCCTCGCAGTGCTCTTGGCCCCTGCTTCCATTCCCTTCACACCCTCAACCAAAGGGATTCAGCTTGTAGCACCTGAAGCCTTGGGCACTTCGGGGTGTCCCCAGGTGCTCAGGGATACCAGCACACCTGTGCAGGTAGGAGGCAGCCTCTCAGGAGCTCTGTGGTCAGAGTGATTAGGGGGAAAGGCAACTAACATGGCCTTCTCCACCGGAAGTCAGTCTCCTTCCTCAAAATCAGGCACTGCACTGTGCCTCCATCTTCCGGCACAGTGAAGCCTGGAAATCAAATTGAAAAATGGATTGACAGATGCTAGGCAGAGATGAGGCATGACAAAATGACCATCCTGGGAAGCCCAGCTAAGAAGCTCCCCTGAAAGTGGTTGGGACCACCAGGTTCTGAGTGAGGGTATGGAGTCCAGGTGAAGCGGCATCCTGGGACCCGTGTCCGTGACTGGCAGTGTCCAGGAATGCCAGCTAGCCCTCCACCTGGCCCCACTGAAAGTTAATTGGCCCTTTGGAGCCTGGAGTCTTTCACCCGGGCCTGACCAGGCGAGAGCTGTGGCTGCTGTGGCTGGCCTGCAGGCTTGAACATGGTAGTGGGTGCTGCGCCGGGGATGCGGGTTAGCGTGTGGGTGTGGAGGGGGAGACCTCAGTGAGGGAATCTCAGATGCCAGTCAAGCCAAAGTCAGTACCATCTGCTGGAACTCTCTGGGAAGCGACATACCCACCTTTGGCATCCTTGCTTTCCTTCTCCGTGTGAGGAAACTGAAGCTGCTTGGCCTGAGCTGCCCAGCTTCCAGCAGCCACCCTGTCCTTGCATGGGTATGCCTGGAACTGCAATCAGCCACTTGGCTTGGGCCCGCCAGGGAGCTATGTCCAGACTTGAGTCCTCTCCTGGGCCCAGCTTTTCCTGACCCACTTAAGTGACTGCTGTGCCCACGTGTGGCCTTCCCAGGTGACTCAGGGGTTAAAGAAACTGCCTTCAATGCAGGAGGTGTGGGTTCACTCCCTGGGTCAGGAAGATCCCCTGGAGGAGGGCATGGCAACCCACTCCAGTATTCTTGCCTGGAAAATTCCATGGACAGAGGAGCCTGGCGGGCCACAGTCCGTAAGGTCACAAAGAGGTGGACTCAAATAAAGGGTCTGAGCACGCCCATGCACAGAAGCCCCTGGGTAAAGCTCGTCCAGGTCCCTGTGGGCGGGGCCACACCCTCAATTTTCCCATGAAATCAAGTGCTGAAGAGACAGAAGAGACAGTGTGGAGGGGGGTCTGCCCTGGTGCCTGTGTCCTTCCTGTTTCCCACTTTCTCAGTTATTAGCAGCTCTTTCTATGTAAAGATAAACAGCAAGGTCCCACTGTATAGCACAGGGGACTATACTCAATGTCCTGTAATAAGTCGTAATGGAAAAAGAATATGAAAAAGAATACATACTTACAGTCATTAAGACAGTATGGTACTTGCACAAAAACAGAAATATAGACCAATGGAACGAGATAGAAAGCCCAGAGGTAAAGCCCACGCACCTATAGGCACCTTATCTTTGACAAAGAAGGCAAGAATATACAATGGAAAGGGGACAGTCTCTTCAATAAGTGGTGCTGGGAAAACTGGACAGTTATGCGTAAAAGAATGAAATTAGAATGCTTCCTATCACCATAAGCAAAATAAACTCAAAATGGATTAAAGACCTAAATGTAAGACCAGAAACTATAAAACTCTTAGAAGAAAACATAGGCAGAACACTGTATGACATAAATCACAGCAAGATCCTCTATCACTCACCTCCTAGAGCAATGGAAATAAAAACAAAAATAAGCAAATGGGATCTAATTAAACTTGAAAGCTTTTACACAGCAAAGGAAACTATAAACAAAGTGAAAAGACAACCCCCAGAATGGGAGGAAATAATATCACATGAAACAACTGAGAAAGGATTGATCTCCAAAATATACAAGCAGCTCATGCAGCTCCATACCAGAAAAACAAACAACCCAATCAAAAAGTGGGCAGAAGGGGCTTCCCTGGTGGCTCAGTGGTAAAGAATCTGCCTGCCAATGCAAGAGACAGATTTGATCCCTGATCTGGGA